TTAAACAAAGATTTCGATTAACAAAAAATTAAAATTAGATACATTTCCGAATAGGACGAAGGAAAACTGAAGAATGTAACCTTTTGATCCAGTTTTATTGGGAGGTGGAGACACTGAGGGAGCTTCAAAAAAAAAAAAAAATCGTATTAAGTGCTACTGCCAATTGTTGCTACTCCAACAGGTAACTTGATTATAGATAATCAATATACATCTAAGTAGCGAACTAATTCGATTTAGTATGCGAACCTATTAACCCACTATAAAATTCACATATTGATTAGCGATTATACGAATCCATAAAAACATGCAAGGTACAATTTTTTTGTCAACATCAAGCATTCAACTAACTTAACTAAAACTATCTTTTAAATGAGTGGCCGGATCTAGCGCTTTGATTTTTGGGTTTTGGCCGGATCTAGCGCTATGATAGAAATGAATATAAATTTTTTGAAATGAAATGGAGACGAGTGGAGGGGAACTTACGTAGTTTTGTTGTGCTAGACGGGCAAAACGTGATGACAAAGTTGGAGGAGTACTGACATGTGAAGGTGCTACTATTAGTGTCGTAGGCGTAGCTATAAGCGCGTGGGCACACGTTGTTGAAAGTCTGCGAGTAGTTCGTCTGCTTGCATTCTTCCGGTCCTACGACATTGTCCTCTGCAACGTAGTTTCCAACACAGCAAATCTCTGCCGACATGTTTTGCTGACACGAGGTCCTGCAGGCAAATGGATCGTTCGATCCGGTGTCGCTATTGCTCAACCTCAGCTCCGATGGACATGACCTGTTCAAGTCAACAATGCATCCGATGCTTTCGCACTTTTCGTTCTCGGGGGTTACAAGCAAAGGGAGGTTGTAACCATTGATGACGCTGACGTCGTAATAGTCTACACCATCCTCAGGAGTCGCAGCGAGATTAAACTCGGCTAAAGTTGCCATAATTGTCGTGTTTACAACGCGATCAGAGCACTCAAGTTCGCCGGAGTTACAGTCTCCGGTGATGCATGAGAAACCCCCTGATGAGTTGGTCGTGCACAACGTCCTACCCCAGAATTGACCTATCCACGACGACGTCGCTTGGACGGTACGCGTCTGTCCTTTGTCCAGACGGAAAGCGTTTGTTTCGAGCGATCCCTGGTAGGTGTAGGATGCAGGCCATATAGTGTATTCGCATTTGTTCTCTATCGTAAAGTTCCTCGACGACATCACTACAAACGAAAGGGTTAACAAATAGTGAGTGATAAAACAAGGTCACAGACTCACACACACAAAAGTTTCGGACTGGAAACGTACCCGAGACCAAAAAATGACAAGCAAGGAGGAAAAGCAACGCAAATCTCCCTTCCATGTCTTGAAGATTAAGATTCGAAAAGAAATTTCGTTTAGTTAATAATTAAGAGACAACCCTTTCTACTCTATCTCGATTAGGAACATTCAAGGATAAAATATCTTGCAAGGAAGAAGTAAAATGAAAATTCTCTTCTTATTTTCACCATCGTTTGATGGGTATTTGTCGCGGTCACGTATATTAAATCAAGCTGTCTGCTCTGATTCAAAAATGTGCCATGCCAGTGCCGGTGGGACACGGAAACTAGGTTTTGAATGGGACGTAAATCAAAGTAGATATCTAATTTCAGTTGACCAAAAAAAACACATATATAAAAGATATTCAGATACAGTAACCCCCCTTTACAAGTCATTCACAATAATTTTAAAATGGTTGGAATAAATCAAAGAACCAAGTTTGACTATTCAAGAGAATTAAGAAAAACATCATAGATTATTATTCTTCTGTATTGTTCAAAATTATGGATATATAACTAATGCATTCCTTTATGCGTCTTTGGATTATTATTTCGTATAAGACTTATTCAATAATAAGTTTGGCCAATAAGACTTATTCAATAAAAAGTTTGGCCAACAAGACATTATTTCTTACTAGCTTATTCAATAAAAAGTTTTGCCAACAATTATGACCTTTTCTGTTATTTACAATGTTTCACACGTGTATTGTTGTGTTATATACATGGGATTAGTAAAATCAATCAACTAAAAGCTCTACTGACTAAACATAAACTTGTCTTATAACCATGACTTAATTGTTTTGCAAATTGGCGAATATTTTCAATAGACCCACAAAAATCAAATATATACTTTTTTCCTAGATCTCATCTCTGATAATTTTTCTTTAGACTAAATGTTTACATTAAACAAAATTGATGTAACGTTAGATTGAAACAAAAATTACGATATTTATTTGAAAATTTCCTTACGTAACGTGACGAATGGGCAAACAACTGATAAATATACATGGCGTTGGCCTTGACGTTGACTTAATAATTACAAGATACTTCTTTTGTTTCAAAATATAACATGTTTTAGATATTTTGTTTTGTTTTATATTATAAGATGTTTTGTAATTTTCTATGCAAATTTAAATGTGTTTAATCATTTGTGACCATTTATATTCTACAGTATTTTTTTTATGATTGGTGAGATTTGTTTTTATTAAATATAAATCATATTTTTTAAAAGAAAAACAAACTATCTAAATATGTGTGCTTATAATTTGAAACGTACTTGTTTTTACCACAAAATGTATGCTTCACGAATCTATCATCGTCTATAACTCCTCATCTATAAAACACGAAGCTACTTGTTTTGAAGCATACATCTCAATCTGCCTCGCAGACACAGAAAAACAATGGCGAATTACGCTAAACCCACATCACGAAATGACCGATTTGCTCCTTTTCTCACAACCCTATTGTTCCTAATCCTAACCGTTTCCAAACCGGTCGCCTCTCAGAACTGTGGCTGCGCCTCTGACTTCTGTTGCAGTAAATATGGCTACTGTGGTACGACCGATGAGTTCTGTGGCGACGGCTGCCAGGCAGGACCTTGCCGGAGTGGTGGCAGCGGTGGAGATCCTGCTGTTTCACTTGAAGGAACGGTGACACCTGACTTCTTTAACTCTATACTAAACCAAAGAGGTGATTGTCCAGGTAAAGGATTCTACACTCACGACACCTTCATCGCCGCAGCTAATTCCTACCCTAGCTTCGGTGCTTCCATCTCCAAGCGCGAAATCGCTGCCTTTTTCGCTCACGTAGCCCAAGAAACAGAGTGTAAGTAAATTTTCTCACATGTTTGAATGAATAACTAAAGATAGTTATAATTTATTTTATTTTATTTTAGTTACAACTTATTGGTCTAATTTGACTAAATTCAATTTCAGCATAAGATGAAAAAAAATCAGTATAATATACAAATTTTGGTTCATATAATATGTCCACCACTAAGATTCGTTTTTGTGACCATATATATGAATTGATTATACCTTGTTGCAGTCATGTGCTACATTGAGGAAATTGATGGACCAGCAAAGGCCGCAGCCGGAGAGTACTGCGACACAACTAAACCAGAGTTCCCATGTGCACAAGGAAAGGGCTACTATGGTCGTGGTGCAATCCAGCTCTCGTGGAACTACAACTACGGTCTCTGTGGCAGAGACCTGAACGAGAACTTATTGGCTTCACCAGAGAAAGTGGCTCAAGACCAAGTTCTTGCCTTCAAGACCGCTTTCTGGTTCTGGACCACTAATGTTCGTGCGAGTTTTAAATCGGGCTTTGGCGCGACCATCAGAGCTGTGAATAGTAGGGAGTGTAGCGGAGGAGATTCTACAGCCAAAGCCGCCAACAGGATTAAGTATTTCCAAGACTATTGTGGCAAGCTTGGAGTTGCACCTGGAGATAACCTCACTTGTTAAAGTTTCCTCTGTATCCATCCAAAAGAACCAGTGTTTAAAATATAAGAATAAGAGATCACATAAGAGAAAGTATCATATTAGTATAATAATGTTGTAAACTTGTAATAGTGTCAATAAATGATTTCTTATGCATAGGCAAAGCGGATTTAAGAAAAAAAGCTAGACACAATGTAAGCTTTAAAAGCCAACGCAATTGTAAACTTGTCACCAATACACATTGGATATATATCTGTGTTTATATCTAAGTGCATGAACATATCTAAGTTGTTAAGAACAACAGAGAGAACAAAAATAGATAAGTTATAAATTAAACAGAGAACCTTTCCAATGAAGTCAGAACAATCTTGGGGAGATTGAAATTTACAGGAGTTTGACTAATCGTAGCTCAAAGTTAAAGTCTTCAATATGTTGATTGCCACTAAAATTGCGAAGCAAACACTCTCGGTTTACGAAACTAGACTAAAACCTAAATTCTTCTACAAATAAAAGGAAGATGAAAAAAAAATGGCCACCAACATGAAATTCGTCTCTTTTGCTTTTGCTACTTGTTCTTCTTTTCTCGGTTGGTTGTTTTTGGCCAAACTTTTGAATTTTTTCATTTAAAAAATTTGTAATGTTTTCAAGTTTTGATCAAGGTCGAGCGTGAAATAATCCATGGATAGCTTTTTAAATCTTTGTTTGTTTCTTTATAGATGTTGAAGGGTTGGTTTCTAATTAAGGAAAGTGGTTCCTTGTGCTGCAATTCACATCCAACATTCGGAGTATGCAATTCATCTGAAGATGAGGACAGATGCAACACTTGGTGTCTTGGTGGTTGTGCTAATGGCAAAGGTGGTCCTTGCAAACATCTTCTTTATGGAGGACAATGCCACTGTTTCTATTAATTAGGATCAGTCAGTTTGAAGCAAAAAAAAATAAGGATCAGTTTAAGTTGATCTTTGCATTTATTTGCCATATGTGTTTCACCGTTTGATTTTTTCATTTAGTTTATATGTTAATAATTGAAACTATATTCATTGTCTTAGTCATATTTTTTATATGATACAATTAGTCAGTCAATTACAGTAAAGTAGTAAACACATGCTTTTAACCGTTGGAGGATTAAAGTGAGCCGGCGCCGTTTTGCAAAGGAGAACTACTTGCCGTTTCAACTTCTGGATGGTCCACTCCTTGACGTTCATGTTTACTTGAATCCCTAACGAAATAAATAAATAAAATGGAAAATTTAAGAAACTACGAGAGCCAAGTCAGCAAGAACCGAACGCAGAAACAAAACCAGAGATTTCGTTATCCACTGAAGTTCGTTTGCTTCTGTCAAATTTGCCAAATCGTCAATTTTTTCGAGCTTAACCAAAAAAAGATGGCAGCTTCTTCTCCATCTCTCCTTCTACCACTAGGTAAGAACCTAAGCTACTGATTCTATTTTCTGATTTCTTCTCAAAGACGAGATTTTTTTCCGTCTGTTCTTATCCACTTGGGATTCTGGGTTTCTCAATTCTTTGCATTTCTGTGCCGAATCTACTTTCTCAGAGATAAAAATCTCATCTTTGTTGAATCTCTTGATCAGTACGGTTCAGATTAAACCGGCTTCGTTCTTGTCTTGCATAGTTGCAATTAGAATTGTAGAATTCATTACTCTTATGTTCAATTGTTAGCTATTGTTTGGTTTTGGCAATCTGACATTCTGGTAATGAATTTAGGTTCAGTATCTAGAAATGGTCTAGCCATCAAGAATCCATATTCATCAAGATATATAGTTGCAAGAGTCATAGCTTCAGAAACAAGAGAGCAAAGCTGTAAAATCAATAGTCTCTCTAGCCGTAGAGAAGCAATGCTATTGGTACTCGGCGTGTCAGGAGGATTATCATTTAGCTCACTTGCGGCTTATGCAGCCGGTTTACCTCCAGAAGATAAACCGAGACTCTGTGAAGCCGAATGCGAGAAAGAGCTTGAAAATGTATGGTGAGATCACACAAATACCTTTTGGCATTCTATAAAACCTTTTTGATTCATGACATTGAGGATTTTCTGTTGTGTTTTTGGTTAAAGGTTCCAATGGTAACCACAGAATCAGGGCTTCAGTATAAGGATATCAAAGTCGGTACAGGCCCTAGTCCCCCGGTTGGTTTTCAGGTAAGGACTGAATCAAACCATTGTATAATTTAAAGAAACTGTATCAAGATAGGTGTAAAAATGTTGTAGGTTGCTGCTAATTATGTGGCTATGGTTCCATCAGGGCAAATATTCGACAGGTGATCTTTCTCAATCCATACAAAACCGAACAATTTGATCGTCTTTACTGATTGATTTCTATCCTGGAATAATATTAGCTGAATGAACTACTATCAAATGGTCACATTCACTCAATTGCAGTTCTCTGGAGAAAGGTCTACCGTATCTGTTTCGTGTTGGGTCTGGCCAGGTAATTGTGTGGATATCTACTTCTAGCTTACTGGGAAACAAGTTCATTGAGATCAAGAAATGATTTAGTTTTAGCCACAAAAGTAGTTTCTGATACTTTAAACAGGTGATCAAGGGACTTGATGAAGGAATCTTGAGTATGAAAGCTGGTGGCAAACGTAGACTCTACATTCCAGGGCCTGTAAGTGCTCATTAAGATTATGCATAATCATTTATTGTAACAGAGATTCTAACTTCCTGCATTTTGGATTCTGTAAATGTTACACCATAAGTTGGCCTTTCCAAAGGGTCTAACTTCAGCTCCAGGGAGGCCGAGAGTTGCACCAAACAGTCCGGTCGTATTTGACGTTAGCTTAGAGTTCATTCCAGGTCTCGATTCAGAGGAAGAGTGAAACTCTGTTTTCAAGTGCAAAATGTAATCTTCAATACACACACAATTACAAGATTCTATGGGTGATATTTATCTCATTGTACTTCATTCATTGAAGAACATCACATTGATTAGAAACGTCAGCATTTTTCAGTTCCTCACCATTTGCAATCATTGTAACACATGAAAACATAACAAATTATGTCGACAATATATGAAAATGTTAGGCAATATTACATCAAGCACATACATAAATTTATATCATATGGAAGTACAAACACTTAGGGCGGGTAGGGGCGGTTGCGTTTGGCGATTGAAGCTGAAACCAGCGGTTTGATACTTTTCTTGTAGAGTCTAGTCGTCTTTACAGTAGTCGCAGAAGCATTTGATAGTTTTGTGTTTGGGTTGCTTCACGCATTTACCGCCTTTTGCACCTTTGAAGCTCCGGCAGTTTTGACGGCACAACGTGGGGAAGAACTTAGGGTTACAGAACGTGGGACCCACGTCTCCGCCGTACTCAACCACACATATGAACTTGTCTTTTGCTTCTATCTTCTCCGGCGCCTCTGCATATTGTAATGAGGTTGTGAATATCGTAATAATGTAGTAACTATATAGATTAAGTGTACTTACCAAGAACGACGAGGAAGAAGACAAACAGCACAAGGAAGATGGAAACAGACTTCATTTTCCTTTGCTTATTGCCCACTTTGGAGATGTATCGGACATTGCTGTTTTTATAGTGATATGAAATGATTGATTCAGCTTCTTAAGTAACTTTTGTGTAAATATTCGGAGCCAAAAAAGGAAAATACAAATATCTGAGGCACGAAACCAGTCCCTACTAGATTTGGCAAATCTAGATTGCTTTGTAGGTCAAAACGTTTTTCACGTGGTCTTTTTCAAGCTCCACTAGTTCTTTAATTTCTTTTATCTGGATTTCTCTTCGGATACATGTGGACTGGATCAAACAGATATGTTTATGTTCAGATCAAACGACATGTAAGACTTTGAAGTTTATGTTCCACTTCCACATCATGTCTAAAATTTAGGTAGAGTTTTAGTGTAAACAAGATTGTTAAATTGTTAAAATTTAAAAGAACTTGTTGAAGCAGATCTTTTAAAAAAAAAAGAACAACGTAATCTTTTATTCTAATCAGAGAGGCTTAGAAAAACCGAAGTAGCAACTCCAATCGCGTACACACCAATCGCAGCTCCGATCAAGTTTTGACCCGACCGAGTCACCGCACCGATCCCAGCGATTCCGACGATTCCTAATGGAATCTGACTCGCTATCGTCTTCCTCGCGTTTCCCACAACGGCTTCCGCAAAAACCTCAACGGCCCATTCTTTGAACTCCTCCGGTCCAAGGATCTCCTCCTCCTCCGCTGCTGCGACTCGAGAGACGGTGACTCGGAGAGCTGAGTCGACTTGGGATTGACTCGGAGGAGAAGGGACCCATCTGGTGATTAGAGAGAACCCGAGAGAGGAAAGATTCCGGTGGATGTGAGCGGCGGCGGAGACGAGCTGGTAGGGACGAACTCCGGCGAAAGCATGCTGTGCAAGAGAAAGAGACTCCTCGTACGCTGAGTCACAAGCCGAGTTAAACTCGGGCGAGTTGGATAGAATCGTCGTGACTCGCTTTGAACCCGATATCCCCATTTTTCTCCTTCTCTCTCTCTCCTCTCTTTCAGTTACGGAGAATCTATTGATCTGTTGTTCACACGTCACAAAATTGAAGTTAATTTTTGACCGTTGGATTTAGCCGTAAATTAATCGGACGCTGTACGATTTTCTTTTTGTCGTATATGATTATGATTATGATCATTTGGAATTAATCTTTTTTTTTCCTACAGAACACAATATTTAATCTTTTTTTGATAATTTTTTAGTTCTAACAGTAACAATTATAATTGCGGAAAGCGAAGTCGCATCTAACTTCATATCTCTTTTTTTGGTCGGGTTTACAGTTTCAACACAAAGTTGAAGCCATTAATCAGGTATAGTAGCAGATGAAATTTCATAAAAAAGAAAGAAAAAAAAAAAACTATTTTTACGATGAAATCTCTTAGATCATCAGCAGTGGGGCAAGTGGATGGGGGTGTGTTAGTGGGATTTTATTAATAAAATAATGTGATTCATCTTTTTCTTCCCCATGGCAAGCTTTCTCTTCAGATCCTCTATTTCTCTTTGCGTCTGTCATTCCTTCTGCTTCCAAACAAACATCAGAGATGAGATTTCGCATGGCAATTTCGGAGTTACAGATCGAATTGTAGCAAAATCGATTCCAATCAGAAGAAGGAAAGAAGAAGGATCTAACCTCGCCGGAGGTGTCGGTTGTGCGGGATGACGCCAATGAATAGAGGAGCATCGTAGCTCTTGCGCATCGGATCGCAGCTCGATCTCGGGAAAATTCGTCTTTGCTCGTCATCGTCTCCTTCGTCTCCCTTCGTCTCTCTCTCTCTCTCATAAAACAGAAGGAAAAAATCGAGACCACTCACAGGAAGACACGTGTCGACTTCCGACTCCAACACAACTATTCTCTTATTTTCATATTTTTTATTACTCACACCCTTGTAAAAGGTTTACTACTGCCCATGGTCTTAGGAGATCTTGATTTATTTTTGGTTGATCGTCCAACACTTATTACAAGCTCATACGTAGTAATACATATATTTATACTTGTATTCAAATTATACCTAGTTGTTGGCCTTGGGTTATCATTTATCAATACAACGTTATATACTTATATCCGTCCGGCAAATCAAATCTGCAACTTGATTTGTTTTCAGATGGCTAGAAGAGAGAGAGAGGGATCATTTGATCTTCTACGAGATCGATCTTCACGAGATTGAAATCCACTTATCCTTATTTAATAATAGTAACACAAGCAAAGCCTAGCGTTTTCTTTATTTTAACTTATTCATTGTTACATTATTTCTTGGATCATTAGCAATTGCTCATTACACAAACCACGACACATGCAAGATTCAAGTAGGACTTATAAACTGATTAAAAGGCTCCTCGCTGCAGAAGTCGCATAAGCATTTCACATTACCGCTGCCCTCTTCGTCCCAAAGGCATTTTCCACCCTTAGCCCCCTTGTCCTTTTGGCATCTTCTATAACAAAGCGTCGGAAATATCCTAGGCGCACAGAAGCGAAAACCAACATCATCACCATCATCATCAACACCATATTCTTTCAGGCACTCGCTATCCTGTGCTTCTATTTTAGATATTCCTGCACAAATATATATATACATACAGATTTAAGCATATAAATATCACATATAGTGAAACTTAATTATTGCTAGCGCCGAGAGAAATAATCTCTGGATCATATGAATCATAAAGTTAATCAAATATGTGAGAAATAAATTTACCAAAGATAACCAGAACGAGGATGATAAAGATGGCGAAGGTGGAAACTGACTTCGTTGCCATGACGTTTCTCTCTCTCTCTTTCTCTCTTTCACTTTGGAGTTGGAGTAAAACAAATATGGACTTGTGATCAACACTTGTTGTGGTGCTACGCCATTTATCATTAGCGTTGAGACAACAAAAAATTTACCACGAGAACCACGAGTCATTATTATTAGGGCATGTGCAGTGGAAGAACATTTTCTTAGTCTCTCAAATATATTAGTTAATAACTTTTATATAATTTATTTTTTCATTTAAAATTTAAACTATAAATAAAACTCAGTTATATTTAAACATGTGTCAAATGAGTTTCTCCATAGGTTCTCAAAATCTCTCAAATGAGAGACTCACTTTATTCTCTTTCTTATTTTTTTAATATTTTATAATTTTGTATGAGTGAGAGACTCGATGAGAGACTCCCACTAAACATGTTCTTATATATTTAGTAGATCTCATTGTGTAGTGGTTGAATTTGGGGACTATCATAGTTTGCCTTATCATATCTCTTTTAAAAAATTTCAAATTAATTAAATTTGTCTTCACTCGTTTCGAAGATATCCCCATCTCTCTCGTTCTTCACGGGATATATTTATAAATTTTATTTTATTTAAATCATTATTTTTAGGAAGTCCCATCAATTATCTAGTTTTTCCAAATATAAGATCTCTTGTCCACTAAAATAAATGAAGATAAGTGCGACTTCAGTTGCTGTAATCTATAGAAGCAGATTTAATAAGAATTAAAAGTAATCAGTTATGATATGTAGATGATCCAACCGATTGTTAAGACTTATCTGTTAAATTCTTGTTAGAAATCATAAGTGACAAAATTATTTTTGCAAATATAGGTTTTTTTCTTCCAAATTGCATAAAAGCTAAGAGCACCCTCAATGGTGTGTTTTTATGGATTTCTAAAAAAATTCTTAAAGTTAAAAGTAATTAAAATAAATGAAAATAACAAATAAAGTTAAGGATTGTTAAGAGTTGGCTCTAATATAAGGATTGTTAAGAGGTTTAAGGATTGTTAAGAGCCTCATATGTGTTGCTTTCTGATTAGGTCAAAAATATTAATAAAAGATAAAAAAAAATATTGCCTTTAAATCTCAGTAATATGGTGGATATTCGAACTCGGGTTCGTGATCGGACTATGCATCAACAATTGAAAGCTTATTTTGTTAAGCGTATATGGCAAAAATTTGATTTTTTATATATATTTTTTATATGCTTTTATGTCTTGTATGTTAAAATTTTTTAGGAAATTGTAATATTTATTAAGTTTTATCAAATAAAAATGTTTATAATTTTTTTTTAAAATTTTTTTTTTTTAAGAAATCCACTTAAAGACTTTACCATTGGACAAAAAATTTTAAGGATTCATCACAAATTCTTAACTTCAAAATTATCATAATTTATGATTAAAAAATGTTTTAAAAATCTTTTTAAGGATTCAACCATTGATGTTGCTCTAAGTCTAGCAGCCTGCAGCGTCTTTGTTTTTAAAGCCGAATACATGCTAAAGTTGTAGATTAAAGGAAACTGAATTGATACATGGATTTTTTAAAACAGTACATGCTAAAAAGTTGGAGATAAAGGAAACTGAAGGGAAACTGAAGGAAACTGAAGGGAACCACATTTTCCAATCGTGAGTCGTGACAAAAACAGAACTACGGAAGCCGAAGTCGCAGTTATCCTCATCTAATTGAAGTATGCCAAAGTAAAATTACACAAAAGAAAGTCGTACGTTTCTTTATTTAATATTTCACTTATTCATTATTAGATTATTACTTGGTGGACCATCCACCTTTATTATTACACAAAGTCACAAACCATGACACATACAAGATTCAAACACACATAGCAACTGTTCCTGCGTTTGCTTCTCTGCGTTTGAGGTCAAAGCGTTTAACGATCTGATTTAAGGTTTGTCGCTGCAGTAGTCACATAAACATATCATACCACCAGCTCCTGCCCCTCCCGAACGGCATCTACCTCCCTTCGCACCCTTATTCTTACGGCAGTTTCGATAACAGAACGACGGAAATATCCGAGGCGCACAATAACTGAAACCGACATTACCGCCATATTCTTTTAGACACTTGCTATCTTGCGCTTTTATCTCTGGCATTTCTGCATTTATCATATAAAATGAATCAAGCAAACAGTAATTACATATAATGAAACTTGACTGAGATCACCGAGAAAAATACCCGGATCCTGTGAATCACAACTTCAAACACAAACGCAAATTTTAAAAAATACGGGAGAAGTATGAATTGTTAGTTAATTTACCAAAGATAACCAAAAAGAGGATGACAGAAACGGCCAAGGTAGAAACTGACTTCGTTGCCATGGCTATCTTCTCTCTTTCTCTCTCTCTGTAGTCTCTAATCTAATTGTTTCACTTTGGAGTTAACGTATGTGTTTATATATAGCCTCATGCTCAACACTTGTTATGGTGCGGTGGTACTATTTTATCTTTATCGTTGGGTCTAGAAATTATCATGACAACCACGGGTCACGACTTGACATGATCACTATTAATGATAAGAAAAGTAACCACTTGTCTATTATATCCCTGATATCATAGCACGGTAGTAAAATCACAATTCATGAAAAACCTGAAATAATAGTGTTTTTCTTTTTAACACAAGTTTCTTTATAAGTGCACGAGAAAGTTTTTATACTAAACCATATCCAATGTATATGAGTTGTACCAAAACATTATGTGAGTCCTTACCATAAAAAGGACTTATGAGTTGTATATATTTATATTGAAATCATTTATGAGTATAGTAAAAGTAAATTATTTTTTCATTTTAATATTATTTGAAGTAAGTTATATAATGAAGAAATAGAATAATAGATAATGATTTTCTTAAGTATCATAATTTTATGCTTCCAAATTAAATTTTCATTTTTTTTCCTTCTAATTTCGTTATTAATATACTAAATCGCAAATATAAAGTTATTATACATAGTTTTGGGAATACAAATTACTGCACAAGTAAAAATATGCTCCATATGATGGAGATGATAAAACAAAGAAATATAATTACACAAATGAGCTTCCAAATTTTAAGACTATCATAATTTATTCTAATAACCGTTCAGAGTTCATTTTTATTACAAAATCTTATGTTCACATCTCACATATTCGTCTCTGACCGGCTAGATTAGCCGCAAAACAATCGGAACGCTCTCGGCTCTCCACATAGTAAACAGATAAGAACATGTGGATACCAAACACAACAACAATAAAGGCAACCAAACTCGCACGTTTCTTTTTTTTCTTAGTCAAAGTATACCAAAATATGATCGTAGAAACAAAAGTCACACTTTCATTATTTCTTATTTCACATTCATTATTGTATTATCACTTGGATGGACCATTCACATTCATTTATTACACAAACCATGACTAAAACTTGTGCAAGTACGTAAACACAACGTGTATTTTATTAGCGATTGCGTCTATTGCAGCCATAGTGCATTTATTAGCGATTTCTTTATTTAGATTTTATCGCGGAGTATCGTCGCAGGAGTCGCATAAGCATTTGACGTTACTGCCCTGTCCCCAACGGCATCTTCCACCTTTAGCTCCCTTGTCCTCACGGCATCTTGTATAACAAAACGTCGGAAATATCCGAGGCGCACAAAATCTGAAACCAACATCACCGCCGTATTCTTTCAAGCACTCGTTACCTTGCGCTTCTATCTCCGGGACATCTGTTATAAACAAAAGAAACGATAGAATCTCATATCATGATGATTTGATATGGTTCAAAGAGATTTGTAGCCAGAACATAAGCGTAAATCTTAAAGTATTAACAAATATGCCAAGAAACGGAGAGTAAGTTTGCTTACCGGAAATGACTAAGAAGAAGATGAAAAAGACAACGAAGATGGAAACGATAGCTTTTACCATTTTCTCTCTGTTTATCTAACTTTAGGTTTGGTGATATGTGTTTAACACTGGTGTTGGTGATATTTATCCATATCTTTAGGACCAAACCGATTGGTTTGATCATATATAACCGAATTATAACAAAACTAAACCAATCGGATAGTGGAATTGAATTAATAATTCTTTTAAAGTTTAAACTATTAGATTGAGTTTCTGACCTTAATTCGTTTCCCACCATCGATATTGAACCATTTCCAATGTGAATCTTCACATCTTCTCCCTCTTTTAGGCACATCGTAAGATATGGATATGAACGTTAAACTGATAAGGGAAAATAAAAACCCAATAATAAACACAAATATAGGCCCAAGCCCAACTAAAATCAAGTCCTCGTTGACTTTAAACCAACCAATTAAAGCGGATTTTAGTTGACTTTAAATGAGAAATTGTCTCGTGAGTCCCTTTTTGTCCAAGCATCGTCTCATATCTCCCCTAATAAAACACAATTTTATTTTTATTTAAAATTAAATCGAAAACTATGGATATTACTGATATACCCCAACCAAAACCTCAATATTACTGCTAAAACCTGGATCTATTCGAACCAGACCCGATCCATTCTTTCAACCCACCAAATTTCTTTTGTTTTTGAAATCGAAAACGAGAAAACTCATCCCCAATTCAAAGAGAAAACCCTAACCGTTGGAGATTCTCTTGCTCCGACTTCCTCTCCTCTTCAAATCTTCCCAGAAATTGTAGTTGAGAGATTGCGAAATCATCTTCCAACTTTATTGATTCCTTTTCTCGTTTCTTGTATCCCGTTTCGAAACCTCTCCGATAATGCCTCCAAAGAAAGGGTTAAAGAGGAAGAGATTAACAAAGGCAACGGTGGAGCCAGGCTCGACGGAGGAGCCATCCCCGACGGTGGAGCCATCCACCACAACGACGGTGGAGCCAGGCTCGACGGAGGAGCCATCCCCGACGGTGGAGCCATCCACCACAACGACGGTGGAGCCAGGCTCGACGGAGGAGCCATCCCCGACGGCAATTGAGGGAGAACAACAAGTCCCAGAGACATTAAGTCCGGTTTTAGAAGAGTCTGACAAGAATGAGGAAGAAAATTCAAAGAAGAATGAGGAAGAAGAGAGTGGCGAAGAAGAGAGCGAAGAAGAAGAGAAAGAAGAAGAGAAAGAAGAAGAAGGGAATGAGGAAGGAGAGGAGTCCTCCGATGATGATGGTAGTAGATCTTTGGGCGGAGAGTCCTCCTCTGATGAGAATGATAATGAGGAGGATGAGATTGCGCCAGAAAATCAGCCGGAAAATGCGATGGTAAGTATTTGAATGGTGTGAAACTGGTAGAACAGGGTAAAACTATGTGTATATCTGGGTACTACTGGTAGAACAGGGTAAAACTATTGCAACTGAGGTATAATGTGTGTTTGAATTCTATGGTTATTGGTATAACTGGTAGAACTGGGAATACTATGTGTTTGAATTCTGGGTATAACTGGTAATACTAGGGCATTACTATATGTTTGATTTCTGGGTAATACTGGTATTACTAGGGTATAACTATGTGTTTGAATTCTGGGTGAAACTGGTATTACTGGGGTACAACTATGTGTATATTTTCAGGGTAATACTGGTAATACTCGTAATACTATTCGCAGAATAATGATATATGGATGAATGTCTATTCTGTTGCAGGAGATCGACGAGGAAACAATAGCAATACCACCGCTGAGTATGTATTTCCCGCCTTCAGAATATGTGAAGAAAATCAAGCTATCAACTCGGTGCTATATTCACGAAGTGTTGACTACATTCGATGAGTTGGAGCCTCCGATGAGCAAGTCTGAGAGGGCATTTTTTGAGAATCATCCGAGTTTTCAACACGTCTTCCACATGCCAAGAGACCCACAAGTCACCAAGATGACGACTCGGAGCAAGAGACAGCTTGGTTGACTGATTTGTCTCTTTGATGTTTGGATTTGAACTTGGATTTGTTATGTTAATTGTTTTGGATTTGTTATGTTAGGATTTGAATTTGGATTTGTCTTGTTAGGATTTTAATTTGGATTTGTTAAGTTAGTTTTATAAATTTAATTAAGGAATACGGGTAAAACAGCTATTACTAATTAAGAAATACGGGTAAAACTAGTAATACTGATAATGGTAATACTGGTAATACTAGTAAAACTGGTATTACTAATTAAGGAATACGTGTAAAACTAGTAATACTGATAATGGTAATAAGCTTACAAAGCATAGGAAAGTCTCACAAATCATAAAAAAGTCTTACAAAGCATAGACAAGTCTTACAAAGCAAAAAATAAGCTTATACATTAGTGAGCGACTAACTCCGAACGCATTTCTCCGCTAGATGAGCGACTAACTCCTTCAGTTTTTGGATCTCCTTACCATTACCTTTCAACTCCGAACGCATTTTTTCTTGATAGTACTCCAAGCTTTGAATCTTTTTGTGATGGGTATCAACCTCCTCCCTTAAGTTAGTCACCTCTTCTTCCATAGCTTTATCCCAAAGTTTCCGAATGTGTAAACCATCATTCTACAGTACAAGAATTCTATATCGAGATCAATTATTCAACATACATCTGGGTAATACTAGTGTAACTAGTAATACTACATACATCTGAGTAATACTAGTGTAGCTAGTAATACTACATGTTTACGGGTAATACTAGTCTAACCAGTAATACTACATACATCTGGGTTCTCAGAGATCTACCAGTTCAACAAGTTCTACCAGTTTTACTTTCGGGTCAATAATGATACTATCTATTTACCTTATACACGTTGCATTGATAGTATCTCTTCCCTTTGTCACCATCGTTCTCAGAGATCTTGTCGAGGATGCGTCCACCACAAGGACATCTATTCGGAATTCCTTCCATCATTCCGACTTCTTCTAATTGATCATAAATCTTCTTAGCGTTCTTCATCTCATCATACCATGGATCTCTCTCACACAATCGATCCATAATTGAAAAAGAGAGAAAGATTGAAGAGAAGGAAAAAGTTGGATCTCGTTTTCTTGAGCTTGGAGAGAGAGAGAGAGTAAATTGAGAGATAGAGAGAGAGAGGAGAAGTCTCGATTGTGAATTAGAAGTGGAGAAAAAAAGAATTTTAGTTATTTGTTTTTGTTGATTTTGGGTTTAATTGATTTTGGGGGGAAAAATTGGAGGGAAAAAAAATTTGGGGGGAGAAATTGGAATTATATGCCCACGTGTGCGCACTCAAACCCACGTGTGCGCAGTCAAATCCACGTGTGCGCAGTCTTTGTGACATGTGCGCCGTTTTTTTTAACATAGTTGTACCCTAGTTTTCAGTTGTACAAATTGTCCACATAGTTTTACTTTTGGTGTTTTCAAATTTAACCAGTATTACACATCCTTAAAAATGATTTATCTAGTTGTACACTTGAGGAAACTCTATTATTATTGAATTCTAAAGGTTTAATGTAATAAAATGTTAAAAATATATAAAATTGTAAAATATCAATCCTAAATTGGAGTTTATATCAAAAGTGAGCTTAAAAGTATAAGGAATATGTTGGATGTAGTCTCATAAAACAATCTTACATGAAAATATTTTTTTTTCCCTATTCTTACTTCGTTTTAAATCATTTGTAAGAGTTTATTATCACTTAATAGTCTATGTTATAGTTGGTGTTGAAAAATTAGAAATATCAAATTTCATAATTTTCTTCAGTAGTTATACTAGTTATACCAGTGTTACCTAATTTTTTCATTAGTAATACATGTTATACTAGTATTACCCTTACGCCAGTGAATTAAAACCTAGTATTACAGGAGGCAAATCTAGTGTTACATAGTTGTACAACGCAAATATGGTTTACAAATCATCAAGTTCAGATAAAATCAAATACTATGGTTGCCAAATAACAACCATTGCAGCGATTGCCTCGGCCTCCTTTTGTTTTGAGTCCTTTGACGTTTTGGACGCCTTTCCCCGGTGGATGGAAGCCTCAATACTTTTGTTCTACCCTTCTTCTTTTTACGAGGCAGAGGTAATACCTTCAACGCTTTGATCTCATCTGGGATATCCCACTGTGACTTATCCGGGATCAGTCCAATACCATCTTCCCATTCTTTTTTAAACTGACCAGCTTCTACAACAGGCGGTGGCTCAACGTATTCATCACCCCTATCATCACATCTATCCATAGATTCATCACGTGATCCAATCTCAGGATCTTGAGTATCATCAACCTCCATTATTGCCTCATTTGGTACTATTCCTTGTTCCTCCTCGCATTCGCACAAAACGATGGCAGCACTATCTCTCATTTCATCCTCATTTGAATCCAATTCCACATAGTTTTTACCAACAGAACTTTTATTGAGGAGCTCCATTCTCGACAGTTGCTCGGGCAATTCTGGTGGAGTGATGACGTCCACATTCAAAACATATCTACGGTAATTTTCACCTGAAGATATATAGACACCTACATCCTCATCATCACTAATGTAAATCTCTTCAGTTGGTCCCATCAGCACAGCATTGTATCTCATTTGCAATTTAACCTTACTTTCATCTAATCCAAGCTTCGTGCATATCCTACCTTCTAACATGGAGAGCGTTATTTTCCCCTCCGATGTATTCATCATCAAGCTATACATGCGACCTTTGCATTTAAAATATATGATCACGTTCTCCATCATTGTATCCTGCAAAAACAATACAAAAACTCTGTCAGTTATACTAGTTGTACTAGTTGTACTACAATTCAGGGTAATACTAGTATAACTAGTCATACTACATGTAAATGGGTAATACTAGTGTAACCCTTGTTTTAAAAATCGCTAGGCGCTAGTCGGGCGCTCGGCATGGGCCTAGCGATTAATCGGAAAATCGGATTAAAATCGGAGATTAATCGGGGATTAGTTTTAGGGTTATTTTAATATTTTTAAAATATATTAATCCAATATTGTAAAAATTTATGATTTTTATTACAAATTTATGATTTTTATTAAAATTTGAACACAAGTTATTGTAAAACATCACAAACTCTCCATTCAAATGATTGAATAACAAAAATAAAAAGTTTTTTTATACTTGCAATCTAAAAAATAATCGGGGTATATAAGATTAGGCGGAAAGTAATCGGATTAGGCGGTGAATAATCGGGTTACTGATTTTTTAGGGGATTAGTCATTAATCGAGGCGGATAGGGTGGGCCTAGCGATTAAGCGGGGAGTAATCGGGACTAGGCGGGGATTTTTAGAACAGGGAGTGTAACTGGTGATACTACATGTAAATGGGTAATACTAGTGTAACTAGTCATACTACATACATCTAGGTAATACTAATATAACCAGTAATACTACGTATATATTTTTCAATAGATTCAGGTACAATTCTACCCAGTTCTACCAGTTGTACTTTCGCGACAAGAACTCAAATCGAATGGTTTCGGGTTCAAAACTACAATTCACTATGATTCAGTTGCTGTAATCCATTTCTTACCCATTTACAGACCTATTCGACCCAGAAACTATGCATAAACTTCCAATGTGCATATCCAAACACAATTTGCTTAATCTCAAATCTAATTGAATTGAATCTCCTACATTTCTAAATCAAAAACTTCAATTTGAAACTCTATGCAGCTCGAACAACATACATTTTCTCTCTATCTCGACGCAGCTCGCCGGAGGAGAGGATACGGCTGCAATGGCGACTCAAATCGAATTTTCCGGCGAGGAGAGCTCGAGCTCGCGTTCTTATCCGCGTTCTCACGTTTTTTTTTTTTTTTTTTTTTTTCATTTCACAAAATTAATTAATTAAAATGAGGGAAAAAGAAAAAGAAAGGGTAAAATCGTCAGATCACATTTCATTAATTGGGAAGGGGATATGTAGACATAAAAGGGATATAAGAGGTTTATAATTTACAAAAGGGGAGTTATGAGACATTTTCTCACTTTAAATAAACCAAGCTGGAACAATTAACGAGAACAACCAAACAGACCAAAATCGATCCCAAATTCAGAAGCAGCAAAAATATTTTTATTTTAAAAATTTTAAGTGTTAAATTTATATTTGTCGAAAACTAAGCGGACTTAGCATCTCGTTTTTTTGGTTCGTAATTGGTGTCATAAGTTTAACATGTTTTTACGTGAGAACATTTGCTCTTGTTTCTAGTATAATTTTTCATCTTCATAACCGTAACTAATCTGATCTACTTAGGTTTTGTTGGTATTCTTGGTTTTTTTTTTTGACAAATCATGGTGATAGTAAGCTAGAGCCAAGAAATAACGAATCATTGAGTTTAAAACATGTCAACTTTGGTTTTAAACTGAAAGATTTTGAATGCAACACTCAAAATAGATTTAAATATAGATAGAAAAAAAAAGATTTTTGATCTAATTAAGATTTTCTTATTTAGAAACTAATGAACTCAAAATTCGAAACTCAATATACTGCTATATTCAATTAATTAAGGTTATGTTTTATTTGTTTACTAATAATCACTATTATTTGAGCTATATTCTATTATAGAATATATAGAATATGTTTAATTTTAAATAGATAAGGAAAAATATTAATATAATAGTTAATTGATACGATCTAGTAGTTTAGTGAAATGTTTGTAAATAACACAAAACCAAAAAAAATCTTACACCAACCATAATCAGTTGTTACTGTAGAACTAGTCATACGTTTGAAATGTACTAAATTTTATGATTTTTTTTTTTGTCGTCTAGATTTATTATTAATTGCAAATTATGAGAACTGTTACATAGACGATTCTACAACTGACAATTCCTTCCGACCCTTACTAGATTCACGACAGACTACACTTCCTTCTTCGTAATCTTGATGAATACCTTCAATGATCCACGACCTCGCTACACTTCCTTCTCTGCGTAGAATCCTGACGAACGGCTATAATTGTACATCGCTGGAGATCTCTTGCACACTTGCCTCCATTAATCTGCAAATTTGTTAATAAATCGCAATACCTGGGACTCGAACCCCAGACTTTTTGGTGTAGAAGCATTAATCAACCCTTGGTCAACCAATGGGCCAAGGGGGCTTCCACCAAATTTTATGATTAAAATTAGGATTTGAATGATTATAATAGATAGCGCCATATAGAATAAATGAATGGTACAACTTAAGTACAATTTGTTGGGGAGAAGTACATTACATGACAAATATGGATAGTGTGAAATAGCATGAGGATTTTGGCTTCCCGTTATAGACAAACAAAAAGCAGAAGAAAATCTGCCAAAACAAAACCGATCAAATTATAATTATCTAGGGGGAGAGGAATAATTATACTGAATCATAACTCAAGAGAAAACATTTATACTGTATCAAGAGAATCAATGACGTTAAAAACAAAAAAGTGAGAGTCTCGGTGACAACTTTTCCGCCCAAAAAAAATTCTCCAAGGTTCCGGCAAGATTTACAGCCAATAACACAACCACCGATGATCAAAAGAAAACCTATAACTATTGAAGTTTACATGAACCTAAATGCTACCGGAAATTCAGAAAATAGGTCACTCGAAGAATCGCGAGCATAAAAATAAATGGATTCTTTCACCGATTGCTCAAAATTGGAACATAGATCCAGACTAAATACCTGAAACAATGTATTTTGTGATGAATACTTTAATGTCTCACGATATTTTCAATTTCTGCCGAACTTTCGAAAAAAATCTCCACGAAAAGAAAAACTTCGAGCTTAAAAGTGATGACTATGGCCGCAGCTCGAGTTTATGTAAATTTGTTTAATTTTTTTCTTTTTCTAATCCATATACAGTGAAATCTCTATAAATTAATATTCAAAGAATTAATAATTTACTCTAGTTTTAGATTGATATTTTAATCTAAATATCACCTCTATAAATTAATAAACACGATAAATTTTTAAATTTAGTAAAATACATTGGTCCTAATATTATTAAATGTTGTGAACCGGTTAAGTCTATTATTTGTTAAACGAATTATTTATTAATTCTTAAGATTTTTAAGCATATAAACCGGCATGTAGTGATAATTTCATTTTTCAGTTTTGTTTTCCTTTTGATGATAAATTGACTCCGATTAACCGAATATAATCAGTTTATGGTCGACTCCGGTATTTTGATTCCGGTTTCATTTCATCCATATTAAAGTTTAATTAAACACTAAAAACATAAAACCAAACTAAATTAAACCAAAAAGAAATTAAACAGGTGTTTTAGAGTACAACATAAGCAACGTAGATACAACATTTTATTCTCTGATTCATATAAAACGAAAAACATATACATTCTCCGGACTCCACTATACCAAAACTGTTTTCCTCCCTTACGTCTTTCTATAATAAGCAAACTAATATCTGGAGAAATAAACAACTTTCACCGGCGAATACATAATTGTGTGTGTAGAGACGATAGAGTAGATGTCATAAACCTGTTCCTAGGTAACCATTGCTGCCAGCAGAACTACCAATAAGGACAGGCAAATCCCGAACCAGAAACTTCACGGAGTGTTTTCCCATACCATATAGTATCTCCAAGCATTCTTGGAGATCAGAATCAGTAACCAGCATCACCCATTCTTCTTCATCATCCAAGTACTTCAGTTGAAACGACCCGTCTTGCAGTTTAAAGCGTTTTCCAACTTCTTTGTAGAGCTGAGGACACCCAACCGATGGCTCAAACTTGAAACGTACAGTGTCTTCTCTATAGGTGGCCTTTACGATCAGCGTTGTTGATCTACTCTCGCCGCTATTATTGTTTTGGGTTTTCATTTGGTTCCAATCTTCCATGGAAGTAGATGAGCTTCCGCGCATAACTGCACCTGAGCCATTTGATGAATCTGATATGCTGCATGACATGGATTGGTTAGGTTCAACAATACTGCCACTGCATCGGATTGTTGGATCCATTCCATCTGAAATTTCCAGAGAGCTTAAGTTGCAAACGCTATGTATTCCTTCACTGCCATTCAAGCCAGACTGTTCGGCCATCCAACCCCACGGCTGACCACTAGCATTAATCTCCATGAATGATCCTGCAAAAATTGAAAGTGGCTTAAGATTCTAATAGCTCCATCTATGGTTTATGGATAAAGAGGTACTTACCGGTTCTTGCTTGGTTCATGATCATATCCTCCTCTAACTTAATGGCATTGTCGACAAATTTAGCTTCATGGAGCTCGAACGAAGTATCGTCAGTCATATCCTCCTGACTTCTTCTTGCATGTGCATCATTACCATGAGACGATAGACCCTTTTGGGTATCAAATTCTTGGATCAAAGGTCCAACTGCAATGAATTCGCCTGTTGTTGAGTCAAACTTTAGTCCTCCTTCTACACCTTGGACCGAGTCAAGTACCGTCTGTATTTTCCTTAGTGACCTGTTCACTTTGTTAATCTTACGAGATGGCCACCTCATGATCCCATGTTGCCTACATATCCGTTTCAATGTAGTTGGACAAACTGCAGAAGAAAATCCAAGTCAAGATTTAGATAGTTTGTGTGGTAACAAAATTAAATCCATGCCTGGAAAAAATGTAGAAGTCTCACCACCAAGGCTTTTTGCAGCATCCTTTAGACTCCCAGAAAAGTGTTGTTGGAGAGCGCTTAAGGTCACATTTTTCTCTGTGGTGCTTTTCTTCTTCTCTAGTGTTCTTGCTTTGCTCATATCCTATGAAAAGTAGAAAAAATATCAGTGCTCAATTTACCAAACTGTTTCACAAAATCTACAGAATAACCAAATTGCAGACATCACATACCTGCTCCAAAGCACCTTGAGATATTGTGATACTGTTTTCTTTATCAGAGGACATACCCGAAAATATGCTTCTAGTAGAGTTAACCTCAGAATCCAATGATCGTGTCTGAAAGTTTCCCAAGTTTCCCAAAGACGTGATCTGCGGGAAATTAGACACTTCCTTTTTTGTTGACCCCACTTCTGAAACAGTTCTCAAAGTCCGACAAATCCTCTGCATTGTACCCGAAAGGCTGTCTAAAAGAAGTTGTTGTTCCAAGCTTCCTTTCATACTTACAGGCAAGAATAGTTCAAGTATGTAATCATCTTCGCCAGTGTAAGTGCTCCTCAGTTTTATAGCAACAGCAGCATTCAGACCGTACTTTCGAGCATGCTGAACAATAGGGTACTCACTGATGTCATATGACTTCACATCAGAAGAAAAGAACGGCTGGTTGGATATGAACGCTTTACCAACAATTCCTTCCTTTTCTCTTAGACAATGCTCCAAACATGCGTGCACAAAGCCTTTCATCTCCATATCATTCACATAACAAGCTGTCTCTTCTATGCAAAGAATGTAATTTTCACCAGATTTTGGTCCAGAAACCCTTATAGATTGATCCTTTCTACAAGGAATCCAGGCAAGAGCTAAGGGCAGCTTGTGTGCATGACATACTGCTCGGAGAACATCCTGTATTTCAGCTAAGGCATCTCTTTGACTACTTGAAAGGTACTGGAAAAACAAATACAGAATCATTGAGGCATAAAATAACGAGAAACAATGGTTTGTAGATAGTTTTTTTCTAGTTCACATGTTACCTGAGGACGAGGAATGGCTGATGTCCGTAAGTTTACAGCCTGAAAAAGAAACGGAAAACATGAATCTCTCAGACCCTATACTATTTTATACTATCTTTTTCAACATTTTTGATACAGTACAAGTATTCAATAACTACGTTTTGTAACCTCAGATTGCAACCACAACAAACTGTCTCCAGAGCTGCCGTGGAAGCTTTCATTGACAAAGGCAGAGTACTCAGGCAGGTCTTAAGCCAACAAAGATTCTCATACCCTAAATCAAGCTTGCATAAGATTTAAGAGTTGTTTATATACATGCACTTGCTGCTGCAAAAAACATCAAAATCCAGATCGTTCAAGATAAAATTGACACAAGTTCTCTATGTCAATGGTTTTGCCTAGAATGTTTGGAAGGGCCTAAAGAATCAACACCATGTGTTGAACGTGATAGAGACAATGTTCTGTGTGAGAATGAAATAACTGCAGAAAAACTTTAGCGAAAAGAAGACATTCTATTTTCTACTTTGAAAAAGTTTGAAGAACCAACTAATGAAATACAGAAACCTTGGTGGCAGCAGTAATATACACACAAACATACATATAAGCAAATAGAACTAGAAACAAGGAGAAAGAGAGAGAGAGAGAGAGAGGGAGAGAAAAGTGAATCAACCTGGAGAGCACGGCAAACAGAGTCCATCTCCATATCAAAATTGGGTTTTTCCTTGGATGTAACGAATTCCATGACAGCACAACAAGATGTCCCGGAGGCTTCAAGGATAGGTATTGCAATGGAACCACGGACTTCATTATCAATTGCATGCTTCATGCGCAAATACTCATCCGTCTTGTAATACATAATGTTTGATGTCCATTCCGGTACTCCCGAGATAAAGACTCGGCCAGGAAGACCCGGAAAAGAACTTTGATTTGCTTCAGAAGCAAACGTAAATTTCCTTGACACTTCACGGTACTGAGAAAGCCTCGGATCAAGCAAATAGGCCTGATCACAAGTACTAAGCAAGTACTGATCTCCTGTCCGAATGGGGGTCCAAACTTGAGCTAAAATGCCCTCTCCTGAACCTGAGGACTCCATAAATAAGCTTAATGCCTTAAGCATCTTCTCATCTAATGAGTGGCTCAAAGACCTGGGAATAGTACAGTTGAGTACGTTAGGAAAACCAATCTTCTGATTAACAACCTTGCGCCGTTTTCCACTTAACTCATCGCTATCTGATGAGCGATGAAACTGAGAGCTCAATTCCTGTACTGACGATCTTTCTTGACCATAGTAAGAGCTTTCCAAATCATGGAACGAACGAGTGAGACTGGTAGCCTTCGGCTCAGCTGCATGAAATGAAGTGAAAGCTCCAAAAGGCATAGGTTGGGAGTTCGACAGACCGTATTGCGCGAACAAGATATCAGTAGCGGAAGGGCTGTTACACCATGCGGCAAAAGAGTCGAAATTCATAAGCTCGGAGGAAGAGTTGAGCATATCATCAGAGAGCAAACTCCTAACGCCAGAACCAAAGGTTGTGCTTAAACCATCCATATGTTCTGTTGGAATATCTGAATAATTACCAAAACCCTTTTCTCTGGATGCAAAAGGGTTTTCCATATCTTCGATGATAGATTCAAAACTGCTAGAGTATGACAATAAGACACATCAAGATGAATAACAAAACATAGCTCACAAAATAAAAGACAGAATCTTCAGTTCGAATCTTACATACAAAGGATTCTTCTTGAAGATCCCACAACGTAGCAAAATTTAATGAATCAAACCTCCACCAGTAACCTACAACATAGAAGACGTCACGAGATCAGTTCATGAACTTTCCTAATAAGAGAAACTTAGCTCTGAACCCAAACTTTTTAAAAAGGGGAAAACTTTCAAAGAGGACAAATATCACCGCACAAAAGAAGACAGAAAGCCCAAAATTCAACAAATGCGAAATCAGCAACACATTTCTGCAGCAAACAACACGCACATCTCTCACTGAATTGCAAAATTCCAACAAAAACCAAAACTTACAAAATGCAATTCCCGAACATCTCAGTCTAATAAACAAACAGACGACTAAAGTTTTCATTTTTAGACTTAAAAAGTTCAAAACAGAGACGAAACTACACGAGTGGTCTTCCCAGAGAGAAATTGCGGTAGAGAGAGATAGAGAGAGAGTAAAAAAGGAGAATTTGGGCTTTAAGCTAAAAAGTAGAAGGTTCGATTTGTTTCCATTTGCAGAAATTACGCAGCTTACACTTAGGAAGCTACTACATCAGCGAGAGAGTGAAATAAGGGCGCTTCCATTAATGGAAGACTTCGTAAGCTTTTGCAACGGAAGAAGTTTCCTCAAGAAACAGAGGGAATCAACTTTTTCTTCTCTTTCAGAGGGAGAGCTTTGTTCTTGCGTAAGCAACAAAACGATGCGTTTAATTTGGGTCATCCACGTGTGACGACGTGATGGTATCTGGCGATTGATATTTTTACCTAAATAAAACTACAATATTTATACATATCCTTGGACACGGTATCTTCCATATGTCAGTGTATGTTTTACAAAACCGACATTACTGCTAATTATATTTATACTACTAATACGTATACATACATGTAATTCATCGTATTGACAAGAAAGTATTATAGTACAAATAAAAAAAGAGAATTTTAATTTGGTTTCGATTATTACTAATCGTAGTTATTGATTCTTAGCACACCAACCTCCACATGGTGTGAACCGAGACTGTGATTTTTTTTTCCTAAATTCTCAGATCTATTATAGATGGGTTTTGGTTGAAGCATATACAATCATAATATAATTAGTTAATTACAACCATAAATCAATAAAAGTAATCATATATAGGATTCTACTTTTTTGTATCTAAATAAAGTAATGAGCTATTTCATTTTCAATCTTTAATTTTATCTTATTAAGCTCTAAGAGCTTGCTTGAATCCAATAATTGTCTTGGATTCTACTCACACATCTTATTCTATAACCATCAAACACAAATATCTAGGACAAAAACATCAAACAAATATATCCACAACCACAAACTAAAGCATGGCATATATAGGAATATCTATGTTGAAAGCATTCGGAAGACATGAATTCCTTGTCTTGGTCTCTTGGAGTGTGGCAATTAAATAGTATAAAATTATACTGAAATATTTTCATAAAGATGCATGAACTAAACTTATCCAAACAACGATATTAGTTTCGAATATATGTTCTGGAAAAGGTTAGCTATCTAGATTTATCATTCTAGAATGATTTGCGTTGCAGACCTTAAACAAAAAAATTATGGTCAGAAACCAATAATACAATCATCAAATGCTACACACATCGATTTCAACGTAGAAAACAATTGACAAATACATAATAAACCGATTGTATAAGCCCTCAGGACGAGAACACTAAGAATAAATTATCATTTTCTTAATCTTATTTTAGTTTTAGGAGATCAACAAGAGATGCATAGGATTCACTTTTATATCATTTGCTTGGCCTAAAAAACCATTATTGCACGTTAATATCCATGTCTAAAGTATATTATAATGTTCTAATGATGTCACGAATGACCCACTTCCTCTTTTTTTTTTTTTTGGCAACAAAACCCACTTCCTCTAATCGTACATATTCTCCACATATATTAATGACGAAAGCTTGATATACGGTGAATCCTGGCCGTCCGATTAGATTCTACTTTCGAGATTCGAATTCTCTTTCAAGATTCTTTAAGCGTGGAATCTTCAACAATATACAGCTAGGCTTGTAGGACTTTGCCTGTCTCCCTATTTGTAGTAATCAACTTTTATTTGTTTCACCATTTTAATAAAGTATATGACGTGTGATTGTAAAATATCTACTTAATTGTTATAAAAAATGCTACTATGTGATCACCAAAAAAAAAAAAAAAATGCTACTATGTAATAATCTCATACCTATGTCCACTAGGCATTCCAAAAGAAAAGATGATAATAAGATGACAAAATCAACAACTGTAGCACTGCACTAAACGACCAGACACATCTGGAGGACACACATATCCAATATGCAGTGATTGCATTCTAATTTTTAATCCACTAAGATTCACAAAGTAATTTATCTTTTTTAAACCAAGCTATGATGGGTTAGTGGTTAAACTATAAGAGGTTTTGATAACTGAAAAACTCTTAACTACGAAGCTAAGACTAGTTAGTTCATAACTATTTTGTGGTGTATATATAGGCTCAAACTGTATTTAACCTTTAGGAAAGTTTGCACGACTAGTCTGTATAGTGGCAAAGACTGCATATATCGTGTCTTCTGTTATTAGAGCTGGATTTGACAAATGTGGAGGACAAGTAGAATTTGCGTAGCAACTATAAACTTTCATGAAACAAATGCTCAATACTAAATACCCAATGCCTAACAATGCAAAGCTTTCATGAGACTTCCAAAATCTCAATCACCCTCTACAAACTCATCATGTCAGTTCAGTTATTACGGGTGGTCTACAAAATTTATATTTAAGCTCTTTACCTTGTACACAATTAACTAAGATTTCACAATTATTGATAAAAACAAGCTGAAAAGACTCAAACTACAATCTCTCTTATTTACTCAGACAACTGCAAACACTCCAAATGGACTAGAGTCTCTGCTTCAGCGTTTAGCTCATCAACCAAGTCAACAGCTTCCTTTAACTCTTCTTCAACCTGAAGTAGACGCGATCGAGCTCATCAAAAAACACAACATGACCACGTACAGAGAACAAGGAGAAAGAGAACACAGTTTTGTCCTTCACCTTGGGATTGATCTCAGCTCCTTGGTTTTTGGTCTGATGGAACATGGCATAGATCACATCTCCATCTTTCATACCAAGCTGTAAAATTGGAGATTCTTGGGTTTAGGAGATAACACAAATCGAAAAACAGAAAAAATAAACAGATAAATAAAGTGGAAGGCAAGAGAGCGTGATATACCTCGTCTGAAGTCTGCTCGCCACAGAAACGAGCCCCATTGAACAAGAAAACGGTTGAGTCGAAATCCAAATACTTGCGGTTGCAGTAAGCTTTCAACAGTTTTTTCAGCTGAGTGCGTTTGTGGATATGAAAGAAGACATTCTGTCCATACTAACAATGAAAAAACACCTGACAATTGATACTCAAATACAAAAAAAGGGGGAAAAATGAGAACATAAGAACAAATTAGTTTGCATAACAGCGAAAAGGTTTCCTGTAACAAATGATCAGTACTCAAATGTTCGATACAAAATTGCTTGATACTCAATGCTTAACAATGCAAAGCTTTCATGAAACTTTCAAGTTATAATTTGCATATAACACAACATTACAATAAACACAAATGGACAGAGAAGGAGAAAGAGAGAAGAGTGACAAAACCTGATCAGTGACCTTGAGATTGATCTTTGCTCTTTGAATTTCAGTTGGATGGAACATGGCATTGATCTCATCTCCATCTTTCATACCAAGCTGTAAAATTGGAGATTCTTGGGTTAAGAAAACTACACAAATAGAAAACCAGAAAACTGCAAAAGGGAATGGCAAGCGAGTGTAATATACCTCATCTGGAGTCTGCTCGCCATGAAAACGAGCCCCATCGAACAAGAAAACGGGTTGAGGTGAAATCCAAATATTGGTAGTCGCAGTAAACTTTCAACAGCTTTTTGAGCTTAGTGTGTCCGTGGATAAGAAAATAGACTTGCTGTCCATCCTAACAATAAAGAATATCCTAACAATTTGATACTCAAATGAGAAAAAGGAGGGAAAAAATGCTCAATACTCAAATACTCAATAATACTCATTACTCGAATGCTTTATAACACAACAAGAGTAAAATTTGCATGGCTAATAATATTCATGAACTCGATACTCAATTGCTGAATACAAATACGTCATTATTTCAACAATGGAAAAGCTTTCATGAGACTTCAAAGTTATAATCTTCTTCCTGGAAAAAAAAAAGAAATTACAAAACTAACACGGACAAAGAATCAATAGAGAAGAAGGAGAAAGAGAACATAGTGACAAAACCTGGTGCTTGGCTCTGAGATTGATTTGAACTCCGGGCTTCATGTCTTCTTCCTGAGTATTAGACATCTTTCTTTAACCAGTTTCACCGGCCGGAGACGGAAACAGAAACTCCAATCAGTGAGAAAGAGGAAATCTGATTCGCGTGATTGCTCGCAAAATCTGACCTTGAGAGAGAGCGTAGAGCGACTGTGTGAGAGTCCATACTTGAAACGCTATCGTTTTAGGGCTTGATTGGTTTCCCACTAGCACCCTCCTAGCGGTTGCTAGCGGTCGGTTGCGATTGTTAGCGGTTGGTACCAATCACAGAAACTGCTCCGTCCCGGTTCGAACCGCTCGAAATCGCTGAATTTCAAAAGCTCCTTCCCGCAAGCGTTTGCGGTTGCGGGCGGTAGCGGTTGGATTAAAAAAAAAATCAAACATTTACTTATAATTATTATAATATATATTAATCCTATATATATCTTTCATCTTTGTATCACTTTGTATCACGTTCTCATCAGAAACCCTAATAATATTCTGAAACTCTATTCTCTCAATGTCTTCTATCCAAACTGATGATGAAAATTAATAACCAAATGTAAGTATCATATATCATTTTATTCATTCATCACCTCATGTGTAACTTTTTGAATATTTTTCATGGCATCGTTTTTTTTATTTTCATTACGTATTGCTTTGCTTTTTGATTGAATATATGTTTCAATTTGTTTTCTCGAATAGAAACTCACTTGCTTTTTGATTGAATTCAACGTTATTTACAGTTTGTCCCATTACTTGATGCAATTTTTGATGTTAAACCAGATGCATAAAGTACTATCCTGTTACAAAATTTCTTTATTTTTAAATAATTATTTAGTACTTTATTTATGGTTTTAATTATTAAGCATGTTCAATTTTTCTAATATTCTCATCATAATATATTGGTGTTTTTATTTCTTTTTTTTTGAAATATCTTTTATTTATTTTGGTCATTTTTTTATTTAACTGCTATCGCATCCGCTGGTTTACCAGTCATAAAACTCCCGCCAATACACCAATTTTCAAACGCTAAACCAGTCGTTCAAAACGCTTGATAACGCTTAAAGCCGCAACCGCCCACTTCAGCAAACTCCCGCAACCGCAACCACAACCGCTGCGTTTAAACCAGTCAGGCCATTAGTCTCGACTTCTCGTCGTCACACATGTCTGCGACTTCCTCATGAGTCCACACGTGTCTCTGTGCTGTCTTGTCTGGCTTTCATCGACGGTTTACTGTATTGGGCTCGGTTTGGATTTCGTTGTTGGGCTTTTGTTTTAATTTTGTTGTTTATGTTTCTTTGACCAAAACAAAAAATGTTTCTTTCATAGATAAAAGTAGGCCTAGGCTTTCGGTTATCCGTTGGGTCCATTCGGTTTTCGGTTCTTTATGTTTTAAAATTTAGTATCCATTCAGATATTTTGAAATTTCGGTTTGGTTTCGGTTTAGTTCCGGTTCTTTCGATTTTAAAATTTAGTATCCATTCGGTTATTTTGCTTATGATATTTTTGAATATTTCGGTTATTTTTGAGTATTTTCGAATATTTTTGGATATTTTTTCGGTTAATTTTGAGTGTTTTTACTATTTTTATAGATTTTTCAAGTATTTTTGATTATTTGGTCTATAAATAACTAATTATTTCGAAAATATAATTACATTTCGGGAATTTCGGTTACCCGAAATATTTCGGTTCGGTACCGATTCGGTTACGGTTATTTCGATTATCAAATTTAGTATCAATTCGGTTATTTTCAAAGTTTCGGTTCGGTTCGCTTCGGTTTTTTTTGCTTCGGTTTCGGTTCGGTACATTCAGTTCGGTTTAAAAGCCTAGCCCTAGATAAAAGAGAGAGCCAAAAGGCCCAAAACAAAAAACAAAAACGAAAAAATCCAAACCTAAACTGATTTAATGTACTCTAACCAAACCGAATCCACTAAACCATAATTTATTTAAATTTATATATTAGTTATACATATATAAAATAATATAATTATATGAAATCAAATGAGTGAGTGTTTTTAATATGTACAAGTTAAAACTAAAGCCAACAAAAAAAAAACTAAATCCAAACAAAAAGATAAACCGCACCAAACCGAAGATTTATCAAACCAAACCAAATTACAATAATCTTCTTATAATTACTACAAAACTATATAATTGTATGATTCTTTTTCTCCATTAATTGTATGAATTATGGCACCGACTTTTCGATTGGTCTTATACTCTTATAAGGCTATGTCAATTCTTATATCACACTTCAATTTTTTTTTTTTTTCGTCATATCACACTTCAATTTATTTTTGAGATTATTGCTTAATAATTTTTCTCAAGTTTTTTTTTTGAGCCTAATTGGCTAAATAGAAGGACAAAAAAAGAGAAATAATATGTAAAATAAAACAAAATCAGATCGAGGAAAAAAAACACCTCATCAGAAAAGGAGAGAGAGAGAGAGACGAGAAGAACAAAAAAAAAAAAAGGAAGAAACTTTGCGTCGATGAAAAAATGGAGATCGGAGAAGAAAATCCTCGATGACCATTGACATTCAGGTTCTTCTTAGCTTTCTGCGTTGATCAAATGACATTAAGATATGTATCTGAGCGCGAAAATGTATATGTAATGCTTAAGGAAAGTTTCTGTTTTTCATTTTTGTTTTGTGGTATATTGATTATTGAAACTTGTCTACGTATTTTGAATGAAATGCAATTCAATCTGGCTGATTCGAATGATCTGATCCATGTTTTTATTCGTGAAATCTGAATCATGTTTTATGGATAGATATGAGGGACGCAAGTTTGTATCTGGATTTCTGAAAAAAATGTGAATTTGGTTACAGTAAGATCTGTGATTCTATTGGGTTTCTGAAAAATGTTGAATTTTGATCTGGACCCTTTAGTTTCTGGCTGATTTTTGTTATTGGGTTATACGAAAGGATATTGATTGATGTAGATTCTTTTAATTTTGGTTAATGTTGCAGAAGAGTTGGGAAGTGAGGACTGATGTGTTCTGGTGGAGAAGGAAAACAATGGAGCTGTGGAAAAGCGGGTGTAGTGAGTTTGCAGAAAGTTGGATCTTTGGTTCGAGATTTGAGCGAGCCTTGTCTTTCACAATCGCGGATACAGGTTGTTATAACTGTAAGATCTTAACTTTAACCCTTTTTAAATTCAGCATCAGTAATCATTTTTTCAATCAAAGGTTTGTAATGTAATTGTATGACTTAAAGTTGATATATAATGCACAGATCGGCAAAATGCTTAAGCCAGAGAAGTGGCAAGCGTCTTTTGATAGCGACGGAAGAGTTTCTGGTTTCCAAAAGGCGCTTAAATTAATTATTTTGGGAGTATGTTTTCACTTGGCAGAAGAATTTTGTAGCACTTTTGATTATTCTTTCAGTACTGTGGTTTAATGTATGATGGTGTTCTTTATCAGGGAATCGACCCGTCAATTAGAGCTGAAGTTTGGGAATTTCTCCTTGGTTGTTATGCGTTGGGCAGCACCTCTGAGTACCGTAATCAACTCAGGGTAGCTCGAAGGTTAGACTGTTTGATCACAGCTTAGAGAGAGAAAGAATGCGAATAGCAAGTTAAGTTTAATCAAAAGCTTACAAGTGTTATTGGAATTTTCACGCAGGAAGCGATATAATGATTTGCTCAAGCAATGCCAGACGATGCATTCAAGTGTGGGAACTGGTTCACTTGCCTATGTTGTGGGGTCTAAAGTTATGGATATGCGGAAATCGTATAGAGATGAGTCAGTAAAGGTTGCTACTACAGATGAAAACAGAGAAGAAGCTTTTATAGATAATAATGATAATGCTAATACTGAAAATCATCACAGTGATTGGAGTAATAATGGTACTGATACATCTCATGTACACAGAAGGGGAAGTTCTAGTGAGTCAGTTGATTTAGTAAGTGGAAGAGAAAGTCCGGAGAGCGTAGTATACAACACTTCCTCCTTTGTATCTGCCTCTAGTCCATATGGCTTTGCTTCCCCTGACGGTTATTTCGACTTTCCCTCGCTACCGGTTACAGATTTGTTTGGGAGGAATAGTTTAGATAAGATTGAGGTTTCTACGCCAGACGAGGATGCTTCATTGAAAAGTGATTTAAGATCTGAGGATGAGGCAATGCACAATTTTCGAATTGATAAGAATGCTGATTTAGTTAGAGAACAACGTAGGTCCACTCCAGAGATCGAAGTGATGCATCAGGGTTCTGTTGGACCATCGTCTTATACTGGTCGCAATGCAGAAATAGTTGATGGTTTGAAAATATCAGATGTCCCTGAAATGGCATCAGTGAAGGAGACTCCCTCCCGTGTTGGGAATGTCACGGAAGATCGAGTGTCTGAATGGCTTTGGACTTTGCATCGAATAGGTAGGAATTATTCCTTGTCTCTTTTGTTTCGAAAACTTGCAAAAAATCTTCCTTTCTCTGTCCCAGCTTGCATATTTTCGTAGTTAAATTCTCTCATTTCTACAGTTGTTGATGTGGTAAGGACGGATAGCCACCTTGAGTTTTATGAGGATCCAGGAAATCTAGGAAGAATGTCGGATATCCTTGCGGTTTATGCTTGGGTTGATCCTGCAACTGGTTATTGTCAAGGTGCCATATATCTCTTAAGTTTGATTTCTTAGATATGTCAAATGAAAACTTAATGAGGTTTTATTGGATGAGGATACTAACTCTCTGGTTGCAAATCTGTTGATAGGAATGAGTGATTTAGTCTCTCCTTTCGTGGTTCTATTTGAAGATAATGCTGATGCCTTTTGGTGCTTTGAAATGCTCATAAGAAGAACGGTAAATCCAATGCTTAATATGTCATAATTTTTTGTTCTGGCTTAATTTGATCATGCATTATACTTTTGCTACGTGTATATTTGTGTAGCGTGCGAATTTCCAAATGGAGGGACCAACTGGGGTGATGGATCAATTGCAATCACTGTGGCACATATTGCAGATTACAGATAAAGATATATTTTCCCACTTATCGCGAATTGGAGCTGAAAGTCTTCATTTTGCCTTCCGGATGCTCTTAGTTCTGTTCCGACGAGAATTGTCTTTTAACGAAGCTCTCAGAATGTGGGAGGTTTGTAGTTCTTCTGTTTGCTTCAAATACTGAGTCTTTTGTTCGGTCTCTGTTAGTCATATTTATCTATGGGTTTGTCTTTGATAGATGATGTGGGCAGCTGATTATGATGAATCTGTTGCTGAAACTTTGGAGAATGATTGCTTGGAGCCTTTGGTGATTCAGCTTCCAAGAAAATCTGAACCTGAGGTGAGTGAAGAATCGATAGAGGATGGAATTGGTAACAGTACAAAGAGGGAACCAACGATTTCAAAGAGTGGGCCAATTTCAAAGAGTAGCGGTTTGTTGTCGAGGAGCGGTTTGCTGCCGAAGAGTGGTCCGTTGCCAAAGACTGCTGGTCCTTTCTCTGATGAGAGTGAGATAAAGGCAGCATCATCCTCATATCACTTTTGTGGTTTGACAAGAAGTCTTTGGTCAAGGAATGATAGAACAACACATGTCCCTTGTGTAGTTTCATCCATAAAAAAAGGGGATGATGCTCTTCCTGTCTTTTGTGTGGCAGCGATTTTAATCATGAATCGACATAAGATCATGAAAGAAACTCGCTCGATCGATGACATGATACAGGTAGAAAGTTTGTTTCATTTGTATTTTGTTCTCCTTACATGCTCAACTGCTGAGAGGCATCTATACTGAATCAGAAGATATATACTGTGCAGATCTTCAATGATAAGGTTCTTGTATTCCGCGTGAGAAGATGCATACGCACAGCCATGAAACTTCGTAGGAAATACATGTACAAGGTTAGATATGCTCTACAAAGAAAGCTTCTGCTGCTGGATGATTCTATTTCTCCATTTAACTGTTAAACGCTTGTTAGAGTCAGGTAATCAAGACCAAGAGCCACACTCAGTCTCAGAATCTCAACCAGGTTCAAATCCAGCATCAAACCCATATGGAGAGCCAGAGACCGGAGGAGATTCAGAGTCATGGTGAGAACCAGAGCCAAACACCAAGTTTACATCATAGTCCTGCCACTCAGAATGGTGACTAGGCAGAATTCCACCTATAACAGTTAAAAATATAAAACAAAAAGAAGAAGAAATAGAAGCTCACACAAGTAGGTCATCTTTAGTTACGGATTACGAGGAAGGGGTTTATGTTTGAAGATTCATGCTTTGATCTGTGTCTACAACATGTTTGACAACTTTTTTGAGGTACCCGTTTTCACCTGAAGAATATGTTCACATATAATGAAATCTTGGATTAAGAAAAATATCATGACTTGTAAACATACCTAAACTATGATAAATCTTAATCACTACTAAAGCCTTTGCGATTTTGTTGGTTATGTAATAAATTTATATTCTTATAATTGTTTGGCCTCTTCTTGAAGCTAGCAGGAAGGAACTAGCAAGAGATTGAGAAGCATGTGAAATTCAATCGCTTGGTACTACTTCACAAACTGAGAGTCTAAGACTCATAAACAAAGAGGTTAGAAAAATAAAATCTCCTTTCTCTTTTGTGCGGGAACAATTTTGACTGCATACCCTTTATACTTATGTGAATATCAGAAAAAAAAATCGACTTTTTCGAAACACCAAAAGAATCAATCTCCTTTAGCTATAGAGAAGCCTTTTTCATGGCGATTACAATGTAATAAATGACAACAAATTTATATCTGAAACATAAATATTTCAATCTTTTTTCCTGTTGTTTCCTGTTTATACCTTCTGTTTATTCTTCTTGCAAGATCAGAGAGAGATAGTGCTTTTGTGTTTAGTTTCTACGCCTGCAATCTTTTCGTATCTCACCTTCTGTTTTAGTTAACACATTTATCGCTCCCACCTTGCTAATCGAAAGAGCAAATGATTTCCGGAAATCCTCAAAACTCTCTGAGAATTCCTTAGATATTTGCTTGGTGTCAACATTGTAAAGCAGTTGTTGATCTACTTCAAGTACAGATTTGTTTGATAGAATTCTTGAATAGAATGAGTTTGTGAAGCTGTGGTTTGAGCCTGAGTCCGGGTTTAGGTACACTAGCGGATCGGTCTGGCCTTTCCTCGTTCTTGGAGGACATTGCTTTGCCATTTCAGACAGGAAATACTTGTTCATAGTCGGGCTTGGTTTACCGGTCTTGTTGTAATTGTAGAGTCGATCAACGACATAGCTGCAATGTGTTCTTCCCATTGAATGTGATCCTGATGAGGGAGTAATTCAGTTTAAGCAATTCAAACCAGACCAAAACTACTATCCAAGTATGAACCGAAACCAAACCTATATCTATCCGAAACAGAGTTCGAAAACTGGACCGAAACGCAGGATGAGTACTCCTAAATCCTGATAAACCGGTTTTTAAGATATTGGCAGGGAGTAAAAGGTGACTGACCTAGAAGTGTAGCCATATCAAGAACACTCAAGCCTCTGGATTTGAAATAAGACATGGCTTGGTTCCATGAGATGGATGGCGATGGTAGGTCCACGGTGTGCTTATCCGAGGTCAAACCATCTCTCCTGCCTGTGAACACAGGATAAGATGGTGCACCTGCCTGTGTGAATCATTTCTCTCAGCTTGTCAGTATCTATAATGATCCATGTATAGTTATAGGTGCAGAGAAAGAGAGATTACCAAATGAACAGCATCCCGAGTTGCAAGATTAAGAATGTCGGCGCAAGAGACAACACCGGGACATCTTTGTTCCAAGACTATTTTGATTTTGTCTATAAGCACGAATCCTCCAAGTCCTCTGTTTTGTGGCGCCATTCTCTCTGAGTTCGGACCTTCTAGTAGAACTGATGCATCGCATCCCTATCATTATAGTGTAACACAATGTAAGAGGACTAATTAGTAAATCTTCTAATTAAACTTTCTCAACACTCGATTAGTTTTGTAGTTATATATCCTTGGGTTCATATGATATATATAAATGATTGAATAATAAGAAATGATAAGACAAGAGTACGAAAAAACGTACGGAGACAAAGCAATCGGAGTAAAGTAGACGAAGGAGCTTGGGAGCAATACTTTTATCGTTCTTGTAAAATATTTCAACTTGGTGCCTCACAAAATTCTCTGCATTCTCGCAAGTGTTATAAACTTTGTAGTAATGCCACGTAAGCTTCTGCATCGACGGTCCCATCACGGTCGCTTCTGCCGTCTCCGGGAAGAGACTAACGCCTCCAACCACCATCGCGGTGAGGAAGATATGAATCATAACCATCTCACGGTGAAGCTGGTTAGTGTTGAATGGAGAAGACAAAGAGGTGTGTTGTTGAGGACTAGTGAGGGTTTATATAAGGAGAGATTGATAAATTGTGAAGGCACTTATGGGGTTTTGACCACGTGGCATTTCTGACTAGGATTGGGGCTCTAAAGTAAGGTACTTAAAATTTAATTGAAATGCAAAGTTGTGCAAGCATAATTATCGGATCTTTGTTTATCTGCCGTGCAAGCTAAGTCGCCAGCCCAATGTCGTCTAGGCATTTAATTGCTGTGTCTACTTTTTGAATTTTTTTTGAGAACTACTAATTTGCATGAAAGTAAAAATAAATATGATGATTTGATATACAGGAAATCCTTTTATAATAACATTTTAGTGAAAATTTTGAAATGGAAGAAAATTCAGATTGGGATTTATAGATAAAGATCTTACATATGTGACATACTGACATGCAAGAAGCAACGGTTAAAAGAGAAACAACACTACAAGAAAACATCACAATTTCCGACAAAGATATTGGTCGGAAATTCGTCGGAAATAGCATATTCCGACACATTTCCGACAAAATCACATTCGTCGGAATTCTCTGGTCGGAAACCATAAGTTGTCGGAAATTCGTCGGAAATTATCGACGAAAATTATTTGTCGGAAATGTTGTCGGAAATATTTGTCGGAATTTTGTCGGAAATTTCCGACGACTATTCATATAGTGGTCGGAAATTCGTCGGAAATTTCCGACCACTTTTAAAATAAAAATAAATATATACCGAAATTAGTTCCGACAAAATTCCGACAACTTTTCTATTTAATCTATTTTAAAAAAAAAACAAAAAAGAGTATTATACTTAAAATTAAAATAATTATTGAATATCTACAAAAATAAATTAATCGTCACATAACCAATTTTCATTATCAACAAATGAGAATTAAAATTAAATTAATTAAAATGAATAAATATATAAATACATAAATGTCTCTATTAATTGAAGAAGAGAATAAAAATGTTGAACTTTAAAAAAAAAGGAATGATGTTTTGTTTTTTTTTTGTCAACAAAGGAATGATGTTTGATGTAGAGAGAAGAAGATGTTAATAGAGATTGAGATTGTTGTGTTTGGAATTGTGGAAAGGATGGAAACTCATTTGCTATATATAGAAAAAAATTTCCGACGATGTATATCGTCGGAAATTTGTCGGAAACTACAAAACGCGGTAAATTCATTTGAATTGAATGTACAAAGGCGGGAACATGAAAAATCATAAATTTTCCGACAAAATTCTGACGAACGTAGAAATTTCCGACGAATTTCCGACGAAATTAATTATTAATTAATTATTTAGTTAATTATAAATTATTTAATTTTTTCAAAAAAAATTCAAAATAATATTTCTGACGACTTTCCGACGAAATTAATTATTTATTTATTATAAATTATTTATTTTTTCATTTTTTTGAAAATAAAAATGATTAAAGAAATAATTTCCGACAAATTTCCGACTAACAAAACTTTCCGACTTAAATTTCGTCGGAACTTCGTCGGAAATATTAAAGGTTTAAACTAATAATTTCTGACGATTTTTCCGACTTATATTTCCGACCAAAGCGTCGGAATTTTGTCGGAAAATGTGCAGTGAATAAACATGTGTTCACCTAATATTTACGACGAGTATTCCGACAAGTTTCCGACCAATTTCCGACCAATTTCCGACAAAATTAAATAGTCGTAATTTTCCATGTTTTCCGATGAATCCTTCCGACAAAGTTCCGACGAATTTGTGATCGTCGGAAATTTTTCTTTTTTTCCGACAAATTTCCGACGAATTTATTTTTCCTCGGAATCTTTTCGGAAACTCGTCGGAAACCTGTCGGAAAATTTCCGACCAAACATTTCATCGGAAATTTTCCTCGGAAATGGCTATGTTTTCTTGTAGTGCAATACTAATTGTTAACATGATTGGAGTTTGGGATATAGAAATATTAATTCTCTATATTCTACGTGTAATTTATTGAAATATCAACTAATTAAGTATATGTATATAGTTTACGTTTTGATCGTTTAGATAGTGAAGCAACGTGTTAACATGTGATCGTAACTCGGATTCTGCGCGTCGTTTGATTTCCCATGCAAAATTATGAGATCCCATTTCTCTTTTTGTTTTTTGTTTTATATAGTTTTGTTCTTATTAATTATTATTGTGTATAAGACTGTTTCTAATATCTAAATATAAAGGATGATTTTGATTGAAATTTCCACAAAAAGACTGATCATGTAGCACAATAACTACGGATTTTGTTTTTACTGTTTCCAATAATGATTTGATCGATGGCCATAAGAAATAGTGAGCAAATGATCGAATAATGATAGATTATACAAATCCGTTATCATTTCACATTAGATTTTCCACAGTTAGATCAATCTCAAATTTGGATAGAAGATGATAAAATTGAATCAGCTCTACTGAGGGTAGATTAGTGTCGATCGGATTTGGTTAAACTTATCACTAAAATTTACGACAATTAGCAAGAAAATAAAATAAAATCAGAGTTCATATATAGACAATCAATTTCAGATTGATTTTCAAAAGCTCGAGTTCAGAAATATACAAAAGAATTAGACATGAGAGGATGTCATATTGATATGCATTAATATATACAGCTGGAAACTCCCGATTAATAATTTGTACATTGTATCTGTCTTTAGTCTGTACCATATGATTTCTCCTTTTATGCATGAATGGTTTGGTCTTTTCCACTGATCATGCTTGTATGTTTCCTGCTTGGCCTGCTGCTTCTGTACTTCTAGACACCTCTGGTGATTTTATACCTCATCATGCGGATGTTTTTGAGGGTATATTTCTGCTGGTAGATTTAAGAAAAAAAAAATGGTTGTATAAAATGTGATTTTAGTTTTTCTTCTTTTTTTTCCTAATTAGTTTTTCTTCCCAAGTGTTTTTTTTTTTTTTTGAATTTTTAATTCACTTTCGAATCTACAGCTTTCTCGTCTGCTTTCCAATAACATTAATGGGCAGACGATAAAGTAGTTAGATTCGAAAGTGAATAAAGAATCATGCCGAGGATTTGTTTTATGAGAAAAACAAGATAAAAAACATCCGGATGATGACGAATGGAACTGAAAAAACAGCCTTCTTCTGGATGGGTTCAAGAGTTAGCCAGAAGTGCAGAAGCAGCAGACCACACAGGAAACAGACAAGCATGAGGATTTTCTTCTTCCATAGCCAAGTTCCTAGATCTGTTGGAGTTCAATCAAATAACAAAACTCATGATCAAAAAAACATACATGTCATAAAAGATCTGGTGGACCAGTTTAAGTTGGAAGATTCTCTCACCTCTGAACATCCCATCCTACAAATCATAAAACAAGGTTAGACGACAAGTTCATCATATTTCCAATAAGACCATTTGATGAACTGTAAATTATACCGTTGTTTCTGTTTCCGGGTGGAGGCAAGTAATTCCAGTCCTTAACTCGACTTGTATAGCCGGAAGTGGGACCAAGTTCTCAACGTAAGGAAGGAGATATAACACAAATGTCTTCAGGGAGCCTTTGGAGTTTGTCTTTCTCTGAAATATACTTGAACAGCAAGTCTTCATCGTCATAGAAGAGAACATCCCCTTGCTTAGAGAGAGTCATGGGTGTGAAGGACCTAGACTCCACCATACCAAGAGAAGCTAAACTAATGGAGTGAGTCTTGCTCCATGTTTCTTTTTGTCCATCCATACTCCATATATATCTCTAGCTCGTATTGGTGAAGAGGATGGGAAACGGGCATGGCTATGGCAAGACGATCCCTAATGTTTACAATCTGTGCTTCAAACATGATGCCCTTGGGAAGATGTGGACGTGGGACATCATGGAACTCTTCCGTGTGGAGGTCCAAAGCTACTATCGCGTAGACATGACCACGCCTAATTCGTAACCAGTAGATTGATCCGTTGACACGCGCCGATTTTCTTCCGACATCAACCTTGCAACGACGTGGTTTCCAAAGTTTCCGCCATTTACCAGTGTTGACATCAAGGATATCGCAATAGGTAGGATCAAAGAAGATCCTCACTACTTTATAGCTACCCTTAACATTGTCTCTACCGAATCCCATCGCACAATATCCCGGGAAATAAGTCGTCCATGATTCTGAAAATATATTTCAAATAAATCATGCATGATCGTACCAAAAAAGGTTTGAGTCACACAAATAAAAATAGATTGTACCTTCCCGAAACGTGCTGGATTTTGGGCGGGGATTCGAGAGGGAGGGGCAATGGAATCGCCGGAGTTGACCCGTGGAGGGATTCAAAACGTTGACCCTCTCTGCTTCCGGGAAACAGACAAAACCCTCGTAACTCATCGACGGTCGTGTGGCGTCGCAGTGCAAATATACAAACTCTTGGCTCCATTCGAAGTCCCGCAGTCCGGGGAGGAGACTCGGAGAGACGCCGCATTCGCAGTCGTAGGCTAAGAGGATTTTCCGGCTAGATTTTGCAAGACTGAGATGTTTCTCAACGAACCACATTGATTCCAGTATCGATTTCCATTCTTTGGACACGCTTTTCAATCTGCCCAGAGATTTCAGGGGAAGCCTAAGGAACAATTCTTCAAGTATATCGGCATTCAAATTAGGGTTTTCATTTTTACCAAACAACATTCGATAGGTTTCTTTCGATAACTACAGATCCCATGTACGGTATTATTCAACTTACAAGTACGCTTGGGCTTTTCCTCAATACTTTACGCTTGGGCTTTCTCAATTAAGGAACTAAACTTACCCATCGGCTAAATTCAATTCAGGAGATCCTCTTGTACTCAAAAACCCAATAATAGAAAACTACCCAAAATTTATGTGTTGTTATTCATTTCCTATAATCTCTATCAAATTCTCTGCTGTGCTTTCACGGCCGCAGTATATATTTGTGTCCTCTGGTAACGACCCTATCTCTTGGAGTGATGAAAGCATCTGCGACATGTATAGGCAAAAAAGGGTTTATCATTATAAAGCGACAAAGCAAAATAAGTTTGCTTCTATGGAAGAAACTATTTGAAGTTAGGTTATTATAGAACTCCCAAGTGGTGTCTCTATAACATTGACTCACTTATCACATTTTTGCCACAAGAAATTAATCACCATAACAGTGCAAAGATAGATAAGGTTGAAATAGAAACACGATCTCAAAAACCACAAGTCACTTAGCATTATTTTGCCACAAGAAATAACGATAAGATGTAAAGCTAGAGAAGGTTGAATATTGCTATTTATCAGATTCACCGGTTAGGTTTTTTAGGCCTATTTTTCAATTAATGTTACCTGTTCCGGGGTACCTTCTGAAAGGGTACCACAGGATAAGCTATCATATCAGGTCTCCTGTGAATATTGTCACTGACCCAGGAAAGTAGAAGCTAATATGGCCTGTTTGAGAATAAAAACAGTTAAGAGAGTAAAACATGGCACCAAGTATTCATTAAACTATCAGTTGTTCTACACAAACGATATATATAAAAAAAAAAAAAAAAGGGAGAGCAGGTATATATACAACACAGTAATGTATGGAGAATGACATTAGAATGACAAATAAGATACTAAGACCATGTACATATGTGATATTTTTAGAGTATCACAAGCCCATAAATTATTTTAAAATAGACAAAATAATTAGAATGAGTTTGATCATATCAGCTCAATGATACTTTTGATACCAGTATCATCTGACGTGTCATCTCTTGATTGGTCGCGTTTGCCAAAAGCAGAGAAAAAAAAACATTAAATAAACATTATAAATAATACTAAAAAATTCTTAATGATACTTTATGAGTATCACCTATGACCATGCTCTTATGTCATCCACCAAACGTATTTGACTGTACCGATATGTTCATAGTTTTTTAAAGTAGAGGTATATACTACTCCCTCTGTTCCTTTAAGTTTAATGTTTTGGGTTTTGCACATAAATTAAGAAAAAATAATTTTTATATTATTTAATTATTTGTTTGTTTGTTTAATAATTTTAGTTTCACTTTTCTCCTCTTCCTATTTGTTACAATTACAAAATATCAAACTTTGTGGAATAAGAAAAAATCTCAAAACATCAAACTATTAGGAACAGAGAGAGTATATGGCTGCTACAAACCTTGTGTATGGCCTGGATTGTCAAGTACCCGAACCTCATGAACATCCACTTATCACTATCCTTCAGAAGTATGTCAATTCCAAGAATCCGATCTTTATCCACAGCTGATCCAATCACTTGTCGGCAACATAAGTCACATAAAAACACTTGAGTATATGTAACAGAAGCAATAACGAAAAGAACAACTAGACAAAGTTACAAAACAAAAAGGCCCAGAAAGTCTTTTTTTGGTAAGAGTAAGACAACACACTTAACGACGTCTCAAAACCAAACCATTGTATTGCAGAGACATCGTTGTTTATATTATTTAATTATTTGTTTGTTTGTTTAATAATTTTAGTTTCACTTCTCTCCTCTTCCTATTTGTTACAATTTCCGTTTCCATATTCTTGGATACCTACTGAATCAATGTTGATACTTTTGGAAGCAAGTTTCTTGTATGTATATATTATGTTTTTTTTGTATTATTCAAGAATCAAGATGGATGAAACTTTAGTGGAAAACATAATTCAGAACATGCTAAATATATAGTTTTAAGAAAACATGACTTTTTTAGGTCATGGATGCTTGATTCAAAATTGAAATTATATAATATTTTTCCCCTGGTTAAAAAATAGCTGTTTTCTTACATGTTTCAAAAACACAAAAAAAAAAAGTTGCTTTAATAAACAAGCAATAGATGCTGAAAAAAAAAACATTTATCAAGTATATATATTACTAGTAGTCTAAATCGTATGTGTTTAATTAAATTTGTTTCAATGGCTCTCCTACCAAAAAAATATTTTTGTTTCAATGGCTAAAACTATAGTTATAAATGATTTTACTAGATACCATTTAGTCGTAACGTAGGACATATTTTGAATTTTCTTGATATGCACCATCTAGAATTTCAAGATTCTACACAAACAAATTAACATGTGAATTTATATTATGTGAATAAATTGTTTTAATCTGTCATTTTATGCAAAAGTAAAGTAAATTACACGATGATTAAAGTAACAAATTCCAAGATTTTACACTCATTACTCATATAAATTTCTGTCGTCTCGTTGTATGCTCATATATAAACACATATAAAGTTTTTCAACTATTTAAATATACTAAATGTGTTCATGGTCTACAATAATAACGCACGATGCTTTTGTAAACCCTTAGATAGTTTTCTTTTTTCAAGAAGACCATTTTTAGTTGTCTTTGCAATCATAGAAGAATTAACTAATTGACAAATAAATAGTCAAGCTGTGCCCAGGGCCGGTCCAAAGTTTCAAAATTTTCTTTGATGCTCTACGCATAACTAATTTTTAGGCTTTTTTGTTAATGTAAAAAAAAAATCTCCCAAAAAAAGTACTTAATAATGTGAGACCTTAAGCGATGGCTTCCCTTGCTTGCCCTCCGAACCGGCTCTGGCTGTGCCTATGCATGCATTGACTGATACACATCTGACCTTCTGTACAAATAAATATTTCCACTTTTTATCCTAAAATAAAAGAATAACATGGAGGAATTGAAAATAAGGAAATTAAAATTGATTTAGACAGAAAAAAAAAGCTTTCGTAATTTCTTTCTTTGAGAGTTCCGTACATCTTGTCTACATTTTTTTTTTCTTTTTAATATACTACTATTATTTACTCGACCCCTAAAGAAATCAAAGAAATAAAAATCAAAGATCATGAAAATTTATAACCATACCCTGTGGTTAATTAACCGTGGTCATGATGCCTAATCTCGTCGACTACGTTTTATTTGGTTCTTTTTAATATTCCATGATTTATTTTTGTAATTATATATATCCGCATAGGTAGACATTGTTCGTCAGTTATACGAGAAACTAGGGCTTTAGATTGTGTTTTCTTTACTTTGTTCTTGTTAGGTGGTTTTGGTGCGTGTGTGTTTGATGGCGAATCCTCCCTGGACAAACGAAGAGATGAATCATCATAAAGCCTACTCCGGCAACTTGACGCCGCCGTCGGAGAGTTCATCGTTGAAAAGCCAATCGGGAATCGCCATGAATTGGACCTCTGAAGAAGACGAACGTCTGGTTCGACTCCTCGATAGGTTTGTGAATTCTTTACGATCAAATTTTTTGCTTTTAGTTTCATGAGAATCAAACTTAGGTTTACGATTTTGTTGAGTTCTTCTTGTTCTGATATTGTTTGTCTTTCATGAAGTTATTCGTCGGAATCGAGTAGTGCTGTTACACGTTACTCGAAAATCGCGGCAGGTTTTGAGAACAAGACCATCAGGGACGTTGCTGTACGTAGCAGATGGATACATGTAAAGTCTTCTCCTTGTTTCTTCTTCGTCAAGTTTTGTTCTTTCTCTGTTTCTTGATTGATAATTAATTAATCATTGATTTTTTTTGGGTTTATTTTGTTTTTGTTGCAGAAGAAGAAAGAAAACGCCAAGAGAAGAAAGGAAGATCACAATGGGTTGGGAAGAGCCAGAGTTGACAATAAGGTTTAAGTCTGATCTTATCTAAATCTTCCAAATTTAGGTTTAACCACATCCTGTTAATGTTTACGTTTGATTCTTCAGGAGATTATTGATATGGTGGTGGCTTCACAAGTGTTTCAACCATCTCAACATGGTAAGTATCTCTTTGATTCAACGAATCTTGAAGATTTCAGGAAATCTCTCAAAAAAAAGATATGGAAATATTCTTAAAGTACCATCATTTAATGATATGTAGGTGTTGAGAACCAGCTACTTAAACAGAATGAGCAATGGTTCAATCAGATTTTTGCAAATTCCACATCCTTAAGCGTAAGTATACTGACCAATTTAGATACTAAAATCACTAAGAAAGCTTGGTTTATTTTCCTTTTTGTTTCTTTCTTATACAGCTCAAGGAAAACTTAGACCTTTTCAGCAAAATCCGGGAGAACATCAATAGCCTTGTCAAAAAGTAAGTAACATAATCATCAATTCTGCAAAATTTCATGGTGTCTATGTTTGATTCTCTTGATTGTTTTAAGTATATCATTAGTTTCTTTTTGATATTACAGTTTGAATGAGAATGTGTCGGAGACATGGAAGCAGATGCCACCATTGCCGGAGAAGTTGAACGATGAGCTATTTTTTTATCTCTATAAAGCAATCTCTCCTTCATCAAATCTACCATGAATGACTCATTCATCTTCTTCTTCTTTGCTTTTTTCAGAACTTTCTTCTAAATTGATTCTTTCAATTTTTAGGTTTTTTTTTGTTTCTATCTCAGCAGAAAAGCATTAGCTTAGACCACAAGTTTTAGACTTTTGTAATCTGTTGATTTATTAATCAAACAATCCATTTTATTGAAGCTTTTTTTTTTCTGGGATAAATTTAAAGAACAAAAAAAAAAACCAAACTTTCTCATGTTCAGAAAAAAAAAAGAACCATTTTTTTAGAATCAGAACGATTTCACTATGGAGTCTTCGAGAAAAGTCTTGAACTTTGCTCCGATTGAGTAAAAAATGGATAGACTGAGAGATTGTTTAGAGGAGATGGTGAAATTCACTCTAGATTGCCGTGTAGAATTCGATTTAGAGCTCACCGATGATTTCTGCTTTGGCCTTCTTTGCGGCGAATCAATTCTTCTCGACGGTGAACGAATCGAATCGTCTTCCCACGCTTTGCTACACCGATTTGGAGGTGTTCCTGATTATCCCTTGTACAAGCTTCTTGCTTTAGGTCTGCTGAAATCAATAGATTCTGGTTCTGTCTGTGGAACCTTTGAGAATATTTCGTTGGGGAAGGAGGTAATCTGGTTGAAGGAGAGAGAAGATGAGTGGAGCAAGCTGATAAATCAAAAGGGTTCTGAGTTAGTCAATGTGAGACAGTCACAGTCGTTTATACTTCAAAAGACAACATTTTTGATTGATTAACTCCGACTCAGTTGTGAATTTGAAGATTCCTTACCTTGGAATTACTTGTGAATCTGTGAATTTGATTGGTATTTGGGGTAATCAGAGTCGTCAATGCTTAGCTTTTGGTTTGCTTTTGATTGTTAAAATTTTTGTTCCCTTTGTAATATTCTAACAGGCCTTGACGGATGTAGCTTGCGAGCTTCACGTTCAAGAGCCCTTATCCTCACTCATGAAAGGTTCAAACTTACTCTTTTTAGCTTGTCAATGTCAATATCAAGTGGCAAGAGTTCTTGATCGGATTTTGGGTTGCTTAATTTGAATGGATATATTAGATGGCATCAAAACAGTTGAAGCAAGGTGTTTTGAAGCAGAGTATGATAGGTATGAGAAGTGAAAAGTTATTGAGCATGATTACTTCTGTGTCATTTGTGTTTCACAAATGTTGTTTGCTTTCCTCAGAATTCGGCCAAGAGGTTCAATGGTCATGATAAATAAATGTCTAATGTTTGAAGTTATGGTGAGATATATTTGCTGACATCATTTTCTTTTGCTTTTGTGTTCCTGCAAATGATTTATTGTGATAGATTCTCTTAAATGTTGATATATAGGAGGTTCACCAATATCCATTCTTTTACGAGCTGTTGAAAGGCGAGAGTTCAGAGAAAGTGTTTCCTGGTACTAAAACAGTGGAAGAAGGTAAGCTTTTTTTCTTTGTTTGATTCTTAGCCATTAACTTTTGCGTCAGTTCTGTTTCAAAGATTTCACATTCTTAGGTATGCAAATGTTTAGGAAGTTGTATGATATGGATCAAGAGAATTCCAATGGTGTTGTGGCAATCAATCTTAGTAAATCAGTTGTCCAGCCTTGTGTTGCTTTGGCTCACATACTGTCTGTGAGTTCAAGTTTTTTTCAGCCTTACTTCTGTGATATATGATTCTTATTCAAGGTTTCTTCCAAAAACATCATTTAAAATTTCAGGGCTTGAGTTACACTGGCGTTCAAAACCTTCTCGGTCTTTCTCACACAACTGGATCCATTTTTCATGCTCTGCCTCCTCCAAGATCGATGCTACTCTCTTCATTCATGCTTCCATATAAGCCAAAGGTACCACAAAAGCTCAGATATAGTTCGAGAGACATCGTAGTGAATTCTTTTGGGAATAGTTAAGCTGTGTTGTGTGACATAAAATTTAGAATATTTCTTTTTCCCTATTGTTGAGATAAAAGGTTGTAGATTGAGCCATGGAGCTAGAGCATTAGCCAAGCATGTTGATCGAAGTAGTGATGGATTTTGGGGTGTTCTTCAGGGATCTGGTAAGTAGCAAATTTCTGCAAGGCACGGATGCATTTCCCTATTTAAGTCTTCTTCTTCCTTTTTTCAGATTCAGATAAAAACAAGTGTGCGATGAAGATTATCAATCGGTTCATTGGCCATTGTTGTTGGATGAACGTACATATCGTTCCACCACACGGGGAAGTGTTTGAGATAAGAGTAGCTCAAGGCTTTGGAGCACGTTGGTCTCGAGATGGAACCAAAGTATGTATCTTTTGAGACTCGAACTATGTATCTTTCAGAGGTGTTTGATCAGCAACTGTTATAGACACTCGTCAGATTTTTGTTGAAAGTGTTTAGTTTCTGGTTCTTTTTATTGGCAGTTCATTGGGTTTCTTGAGCCTTACATGGAGGATGGTCACTCCATGGCCTGGAAGCATTAAGACCAGACATGAAAACATCTCTGTGTCTCTCTCTAGGACTCCGTGAACTTTCTATTGTAGCTGAATCGTGTTTTCTTTCAACAAGTGTAAATTTGTAATGTTTATTTTCTTGTGACAATAAAATCAACTTTCTTTATTCTAACTAATTAAAGGTAAAGGATTTTGTGGTTGATCTTGTATGATTAGGGTATGAAAAGAGTGAAACGAAAATATAAGGGACCAAAGTGTAAGACACACTGTAAAATTGGGAAAAACTGTGAAGGGACTTTCAAGCGATATATGATTGGGCCTAGAGCCCATTGTTTGATAAATAGTCCAGAGGGTAAATCTGGAATTTCAAGTTTACGAATTAGGGCTTCTTCTTGATACAAGTTTCAAAAGATCTCTTTATATCCTCGCGGCGGTGAGTTTTCTCGAGTCTCTCTGTGGACGGCGGCTAGTTTCAACCAACAGATCCGACAATGGTACATTTTTTTTTCTCGGTCTTTCGATTTCGATTCATCTCGAGACGACGTCATTGATGTTTATGATTTGGTTTTCGTAGCTCGTAAGCAATCATTTATAGTTGTAGTAGAGCTGTTCCTGTGTCTTGATGTTTTCTCAAAAATGTAGACTTTTGTAACATTTCCAGCTTTGATGAGTCCTTCTTACTATGGGTAGGATATAGTGAAACTTGTAGGTTTTAGTGAATTTTGCAGATATGTGTCCGAAATCGAGGTCTGGTTTTACTTATTACTCTGATAGTATGATTTCTCAATGTCGTTTAATGTTCTGAGCTCGTGTCTGATTATCATCATTAAGATTTTTGAAACTTGTATTGAATTTGATGATTGATTGGATGAATGTTGCAGCCTAAGCAAATCCACGAGATCAAGGACTTCCTTCTGACAGCTAGAAGGAAGGATGCACGATCAGTGAAGATCAAGAGAAGCAAGGATATTGTCAAGTTTAAGGTCAGATGTTCGAGGTACCTCTACACTCTTTGTGTCTTTGACCAAGAGAAAGCCGACAAGCTTAAGCAGTCTCTTCCTCCAGGTTTTTAATCTTAGCTCTGCTCAATTTACATTGTTCTCTGCTACACTGAATAAATTCTCACACTTTGGATCATTTTAAAACCTTCATGAAATTTCTGTTTGGCATCTGGGTCCTAAACCTGTCTTTAATTAGTTACATTGCTTGTGTATCGTGAGGTTTATGAAAGTAAGCTCTCCATTACACAATTTTGTTATTTCCAGTCACTTGAAACCTGACAAAATTGGATTCATTATGTTATTTAAACTCTAAATATAGCTTTGCCTTAAGTTCCATTGTTTGAATTTTGCAAATATCTATGTACGTGAAAGTAAGCTAACAATTTCTCAGTTGTAAATACATGAAACCGGAACAATTATTGATTTTGGCATTTGGGTGCTAAACTAGGTTTGCTTTGGCTTAAGTACTATGTTTATGAAAAGCATGTCCATTCTCATATTTGATGTTCATGAGTTCTGAGTTTTGGGCTGTGTTGTGCTTTTTCAGGTCTGAGTGTGCAAGACCTTTGAAGATGAAGCAAACTTCTTCTGCAGATTGGAGTTCCTTTGGTGAAGAATCCTTTGCATCATCTTATAATTTTCTTAGGAGAGTTTATTTCGTGTCATTAAATTTATGTTCAGACTTTTCCAGTTTGATTGTGTTTTGGATTTGATTCTGTTTGAAAAACCAAATACGTTCTCAACTCTGAATTCAATTTGGATCAGACTGCTTTCTCTATCATTAAATTACAACTCTGAATTCAATTTGGATCAGACTGCTTTCTCTATCATTAAATTACCATCACATTCATTGAAATAAATTATAACCAAATTAGTCCTTGATCTTATCATTAACTACAATTTTAGATAATGTATTTTCATACATATCATTAGAACTATTGCATTATATGCTCAAAACTTATAAAAGCTACATGATTAGTACCAAAACTTTTTTAAAAAAATTCAAATATGCAGTTTACGAATCAAAAGTAAAGGAAGGGAAATTAATCCGTAGGACCAGGTCCAGTTGGAGCTTGGGCTTTTTGGGTTATACTTGTTGGACTTTGAATAAGTTTTTTTTGGGGGTAATTTTGAAAACTACTTTTTGAGTTATGCTTTGAAAATTACCCTTTTTCTGTTTTTAATGAAAACTACAATCTTTTATACGTAAAATGACAATTTGTATTAATTTAAATTTAAAGCTATATTTTAGAAATCAAAACTAAACTCGAATTTAGAGAAAAAATTAACTAAATTTGAAATAATATTAATTATATATAAATATATAAATATATAAAAATATATATATATATACTTTTAACACAAAGCTGCTTTATTAGTTTTATATATAAAAAAATTCAACAAGATAATATCTAAAAATATTATAAAGTCTATCCCTTAATATATGTTATATTATATAAAATAAAATAATTTTCAACATTCCAAGCACATTTTTTAAGCTCAACATATCACCAAACTTTGCTCTTATTCAATAATTCTCTTTGAATTTTTTTGCAAAGTAAACTATATTATGTGTTTTTAATAAAAATGAATCATCAAAATCTGCACCATAACAATAACACATGACTTAACAAAAATCATAACTTAACATCGGTAGAATGTTGTTATTCATTATTGTTTTAAAAGAATATTTAAGATAATAATTTTTTTGGAATTTTTAGTTATATTAAGACTTTGTAAAAATTAAATATTTAATTATTACAAATAAATTAATTTGATATTTTAAATATAGATATTATTAATCGTTATTAAGTTTGGTTTTAAATATTTAAAAATAAAAATGAAGAAAAAAGGTATTTTTCAAAAGTGTAAACAAAAAGAGGGTATTTTTCCAAATTTACTCTTTTTTTTGTCCCAAATTCATTCTTTTTCAAAACTTTGATATCCAAGATGTTTTTTAATGCATTAGCAAGACAAGATCTTGAACCAAAGAATAGATTTTGACACTAGCGCTAAGTAACTCCTAGTCTCCTAGAGAGGTAATAAGCAGAGGTAAACAAAACATTTAGGATACTAACGTTCCTTCTCAAAATTTTGAATTTCCAAGAACCTCGCGTAGGGAACAAGCGGCAACTGGATGTGCTGAACTTGGAATCCGCATGGCTTGGTTTTAACGGAAGTGGGGCCAAATTTTCAAGGTAAGAAGATATAACACAAATGTTAGAGGAGAGACAACGAATCTCATCTCTACCTGAATAATATTTGAACAGCCTCTTGTGATTATCATAGAAGACAAGATTCCCTTGCTTAGAAACCGACACGGGCGTGAACCACCTTCTCTGCCATAGCCAGGATACAACAACTCTATGGGCTAAACTTATGGAGTAAGTCTTGCTCCATGAGTAACGCTTGCTCCATCCTTTTCCTTCTATATCCATGCTCCAGATCTCTAGTATCCACTCAGGCCCAACTTTGGTCGTCATGGCAATGGCTAGACGGTCCTCAAGGTTCACTAACTGGGTTTCCTGCGTGACCCACGTAGCCGGAAGGTGGTGGATACCATAGTAGCTTTCTTTGTGAAGATCCAAGGCTAGTATTATGTAACTCGCACTAATTTGTAACCAGTAGATTGATCCATTCACATACACTGAAGGAGGTGTCCTCAGTTTGCTCCATTCACCAGTTTCAATATCAAGAATACCAAATTCATAAAAATCACGAAAACACAACCTCACTATTTTATACATGCCCGTAACTTTGTCTCTACCGAATCCCAAAAGCCAATTTCCTTGCGTTCCTGAAAGTTGTAAATATTTTTATTTCTTTGACTGCAAGAAACAAACATTTTTTTTTTTTTTTTTTTGACAACAACAAACATCTATTTAGTGGGAATCGCCGGAGTTGTCCGGTGGAGGGGTTCAAAACGTTGAACCAACTAGGTTCGGTGATGCATACTAAACCGTCGCAAGTCATCGAGGGTTGCGCGGCGTCGCAGTGCAGATAAACGATCTCTTCATCCCCTTCGAACCGAGACTCAGGGTGGATACTCGGCCGCCTGCAGTAGTTGCAGTTGTACGCAGCCAGGATTTTCCGGCGGTTCTTTTGAAGAGTCCTACGCCTTTCCACGAACAACTTCGATTCCAGGATTGATCTCCATTGTTTTGAGACGGTTTTGAATCTGAGGATTGATTTCAACGGCAATCCAAGGAAAATTTCTTCCAGTAGCTCGGGAACTATGTAGATCGAGTTAGTGTTTTTTCTTTCTTCCTCCATCTTTTATGTTTTGTCTGTCGTCGTGGTTCTGGCTTCTGATAAACCCTTTATATCGACTTTTCAGTGCATTTCTGTAAACCGGTTTTGGTTTGGTAATTTTGTTCAATTGATTTATTTGAGAGAAACCACATGTCAGTCACACAGTCGGTCACCAATTATGACTTGTAACATGCACTTCTGTTCCAAAAATTTTAATCTAAAGGAAGAAAAACTTAATTACCTTTAGGAAAAAGGTTAACGGCAACAAGATTGACATATTCCTTGGTATGTAAAAATAGCCATTATACACATAATAAACTTCTTACTTTGAAGACAACCATATTTCTTAAACTCTCAAGTGTTTTTTTTTAATCATTAGATTCTTCGTGAGTTAGATATATATGTGACCCTGTTTAATCGTTGATTTTAGTAGATTTTATTTGTTTTATAGAATGGACAGAATTTTACAAAAACAAGTGTGAGAGAGAACATACACACATTGCTTTAGCAACAAAAAGAGAACATACGCACTAGCAAATGTTTATGTCCTCTTTTTTTTTTTTTTTGTTAAATAAAACATGTCTTCTCATGTAAAAAAATGCAAGAAAAGTCACTTCAATATAATAAAAGAATGCTTTGAAGTTTTTAAACATATGAATTGTCAAAAAATGTACTAATAAATGTTAACCAACTACATAATCTTATACTTCCTCCGTATTTGAATAAATGTCGTTCTAGCCTTTTTTCTGTGTTTTTAATTGGTTGTCATTTTAACAACTTTTGCATAAAATTTCCTAAATTACCCCCAATTAATTGATCATAATTAATCAGTCTAAATTACCAAAACTACAGATACAAATCGATTTTCATAAAATTCTGTGCCCTTTCTTAATTGATTTAAAAAATATAAAATATAATTGTAAATAATCGTTTCTCATAAGGTTAGTTTTGTAATTCTGTGCCCTTTCTTAATTCACCCAAAAACAGTTGAAACGACATTTTTTCAAATACAGAGGGAATATTTGAACAATGGGTGTGAATGGTCTTATACAATAATGGGAATTTTGTCAATAGTGCCACGAATACAGCTTTTAGTTTTCTAATGCCATTTCGAAAAACTCATATCCTAAAATGGTCATATTTGGTTTTTGTGGCATGTGTAAAAGTCAAAAATATCCTCCGAAATTATTAGAGAGAAAAGATAATAAAGTTGCACACCTGACATGTTCCAGCTATAATAGGACTGTAATTAATGCCTAAAAGTAGATTGTACCATGTATTAACTGTCGATGTCAATATATTATTTATTAAAAAGTTTCATGGATAAGAAGGTCTATATTTTCGTGGACAACTTCTGAGTATTGAATACGTTTTTTAGTCTACGATATTCAGTGTTTGTAGACAAACTTATGTATGTTGTAATTATTGTTTACATGACATATATTGAACGATACTTCTTTTGTCGACGACTTCTGATTAATGAAACGTATTGTTTTCGTCCATAAACTTTGAACCAACCCTATTTCATATATAGTTTAACATCAAATCAATATCGTCCACAATGTAAGGAAACATGGTCCACGAAACAATGACATATTTATTCATAAAGTGGTCTACAATTTCTTATGTGATACAAACAAGATCTAATCCCTAACCATGTAGTTTAATGAACTTGATAGCAAAAAGGGCCGCAATTGCTGGTATAGCCTTGAAAAGAAGCAAATATGGGATAAACTGATGAGGCTTCCCATAGACCTTAAAAAATAGAAAAATGATGGACCAAAAATTAATTTTTCGACCCTAAAACTAAAGATATTGAAAGTTAGGGGGACAATTGAAAAATTTGTATATGAAAAAGGTTTTTACGAACCGGAGGGATCTGTAGCGAAAACCCTTTTAGGAAGAAGTTTGGGAACAATTGTTAGGTCGTCGTCTTCGCCTACACGATATGGAGGGAAAACGGGCCGACCATCAATTACTTCTTGAGTATCCTCCTGTAATTCCATGTCTTAGATATGCAAATTGTGGACAATAATTAAGATGGTCAGTAGACATATGTGGATAGTTAATGGACAACGAAAATGAAAGAATCTAGTACAAATCCGCTACAAGATTTACCTTCTATTCGAATCGGTAAATCGTGGACGAAAAGTATGAAAACAGTCAAAGATCTTTGTCGTAAACGGAAGATGGCAACCGACTAAAAAAACAGATTAGATTAAAATGGAAGGAGAAGGGGTAAAAGACAAATAAAAGCAAGAAATATATTAAATTTAATTTTACCTTAAAATTTAAAATGTGTCTGGTTTCCAATGCATCTCTAAGACTGTTAAATGCTGAAATGAAACGTCAAATCGATTTCCTCTATACACAAATTGGAGGACATTTCCGTCTTTCTTATTAAGAGAAATGGCGTTGCATACAACATGTTTTTTTAATGTCATTTTTAAAAATGGAAGGTGAAAACAGGGCAGTTTAGTTAAAAATCTCTACAATAATACAAGTGGTTCGTTGTCGATAAGATGGGCACAATTCTTAATGAACTACTTCAATTACTGATTTTTTTTTTTTTTTTTTTTTTTTTTTTTAAACTTTCAATATAGATAATGATTATAACAAAAAAAATCTCAATATACTAAAGATACACATCATATTATCTAGATATTATCAAGTAATGTATAAAAGTTTCAATTTATGATATTTGATACTATAATAATAAATAAATAATGTTGATAATACTCTCTAATTAATGCTTGATTTTTATTTATTTTTTCTATTCTACAAAAACCCAAATGATCAAGGCAAACGTTTAATCTCAACCACTCTAAATTGATCTTAACCAAATCAGCAAATATTGACGAAAGGGAATCTTTTCTATTTTTTTGCGTCGACCCAAAAGGAAATGTTTTTTTCCTGGATCCCAAAAGGGAAATCTAATTGAACAAAAGAAGTAAAAAATAAGAAAACCGTTATAGAAACACCAAATTTAATAATAGTATAACATATGGTAACTAATTTATTACCTTATTCAAATATTAATTTCTGAAAACCAATAGAGAAACTAATTACTCGTGGTCAAATATATATAACGAGTTTTGTGAATTATGATAACACGGAACAATTTATTGAGGGATATTTAGTAGTTGAGCTAAAATAAATTTGACTTAAAAGCAAAAACAAATAAATATAAAAATAAAAAAAGAGTAAAAGCTGTCTCTCTAGCTCTGACGTTGTTTCCTGTCGAAGTCGCAGACTCGTCATCACAGCTCAGGCGAGAAATTCTGGGTTTCTTCTATCTACGCGCAAAATCTCTCAAAGAAGCTTCTTCAAAGGTAACACAATCATCTCCTCTCGTTTCTCTATTTGAAGAAAGAATCAGAGAGAAGAGGGAGAGAGATATATAGAGGATGCCTGTGATCTCCAAAGCTTCATCTACCACCACCAATTCATCGATTCCTTCGTGTTCTAGGGTTTAATCTCTCTCCCTCCTTTATAGTCTTCTCTTTGATTCAGTCTTTGCTTTTGATAATTCCGATCTGGTTTTGTGGTTGGTACGAGATTTAGCTTTTTTTGAGTTCTGTGTTGGCTACTACTATTCAGATAATATATGTGAGATTTCGTTTCTGAAAATGTCTTGATTCAGATTTTCACAATACCGATCTTCGACTGTACTAGTGTTGTGTGCTGATTCATTGAGACTAGTAGGTTTGAATGTTTGATTCAAGCATGAGGGTCAATTACTATCTGCTGTTGACTGGTTAGGTGAAACTGGAGATTGAATTATCTAATTTAAGCTTCTCTGGTCTGCTTTTTGTCAACTGTGTTTAGTCTTTGTCTGGCTATCTTATACTATTTGTATCAGATTATGATTTGTTGATTGAATTCATGAAACAGATTGGAGGGCAGCTTTGCGTGTGGCCTGGTTTGAGACAGCTTTGCCTCAGGAAAAGCTTATTATACGGAGTAATGTGGTTATTATCCATGCCACTGAAAACATTGCGTGGAGCTAGAAAGACCCTTAAAATTACCCACTTTTGTAGCATTTCCAATATGCCATCCTCATTAAAAATCGAACTGGTTAGTATGCTTGTCCTACTATAGCTTTTTTCGTTACTCTTCTTTTGACTTTGGTTATCTTCTGTATCTCATGCTAGTGCAAACGTTTTTCCAGTTTATTTTCGTTTGCTTGCTTTTCATCCTGGATGTGCTAGGGTGAAATAACTTCACAACAAACTGCTGAAGACATTAACAACGATCTATTTGTCTTTTCTTATTTGTCGGGGATGTTTCAGGTGCCCTGCAGTAAGGACAACTATGCTTATCTGTTGCACGATGAAGACACCGGAACAGTTGGAGTTGTTGATCCTTCTGAGGCTGCACCTGTTATAGAGGCATTGAGCAGGAAAAATTGGAATTTAACTTACATTTTGAACACTCATCATCATGATGATCACATTGGGGGGAATGCTGAATTGAAAGAAAGGTATGGCGCAAAGGTAAGAGGATACTCTTTTCGGTTTAAAACTGTATGACCTTGTTTTTTTGCTTTCTTTCTTCCCTTTTCGCAAGTTACCCTTTCTTTATCATCACTTGTTCCCTTGGAGTGTTCTTGCCTGTAATAGCTATGAAACATAGAGCTCTACAATACAATGGTTTGGTTTTGAGATGTTGACCAGGAAAAAATGGCTTTCTGGGCCTTTTTGTTTTGCAACTGTGTCTAGTTGTTCTTTTCGTTGTTTCATCTTTTATATATACTCAAGTGTTTATATGTGACTTATGTTACCGACAGGTGATTGGATCAGCTGTTGATAAAGATCGGATTCCTGGAATTGACATACTTCTGAAGGATAGTGATAAGTGGATGTTTGCTGGCCATGAGGTTCGGGTACTTGATACTCCTGGCCACACACAAGGTTTGTAGCTGCCATATACCTTTACTTTAAAATACTATGAACATATCTGTACAGTCAAATATTGCCAGCGTTAGAAACCTTTGGTGGATCACATATAGTATCTTATCTGTCATTCTCGATACATTATTGTGTAACTGCTCTCCTTTTTTATCGTTGTAGTGTATAACAACTAGTAATTTATGTATATTTGGTGCCATGTTTACTCACATGACTGTTCACTCACATAACTGTTCTTGTTCTCAAGCAGGCCATATTAGCTTCTATTTTCCCGGTTCAGCGACAATATTCACAGGAGACCTGATATATAGCTTATCCTGTGGTACCCTTTCAGAAGGTACCCCCGAGCAGGTAACTTAAATTGAAAACTAGGCCCAAAACCTTAAATGTGAATCGAAAAAATATTCAACGTTCTCGACCCTTGCACTGTTATGATTATTTTCTTGTGGCTAAAATCGTACTAAGTGATTTGTGGTTTTTGAAATCATGTTTCTTTTTACTGTTATGGATGCTTTCTTGTGGCAAATTGTGCTAAGTGAGTCGATTGTTATAGACTTTATGGAGAGATCACTTGGGACTTTGGAGTACTCTAATAACCTAACTTTGTAGTTTCTTTCAGAGAAGTAAACTTATTGTGCTGTCCTTTTTAACGATAACCTTTTTCGTCTTATGACTCAGATGCTTTCATCACTCCAAAAGATCGTGTCTTTACCAGATGATACAAATATATACTGCGGCCGTGAAAACACAGCAGTAAGTTCTATACACATAAATACTGTCTTTAACTCACATTGTTCAACTCTCTGTGACTCGGTGAAGTAAACTATTTATATACCCTCCATGATACAGGGCAATCTCAAGTTTGCACTATCCGTAGAACCAAAGAATGAAACTCTTCAGTCCTATGCAACCCGAGTCGCCCATCTTCGCAGCCAGGGACTCCCATCAGTAAAACTTCTTATCTCTTCCCTATCTCCTCTTGCTTCTAAACCTCTTTCTAGATTTCAATTACGGTTTTGTTGTCTGTAGATTCCTACGACTGTTAAGGTCGAGAAAGCATGTAACCCGTTCCTCAGAACATGGAGCAAAGATATCCGAAAATCTTTAAGCATTCCAGACTCAGCAACAGAAGCTGAAGCACTGCGTCGTATACAGAGAGCCAGAGATCGTTTCTGAAAGCTTGGGGTATCTTTCTTAATTGTATAGAAAAATTTGCAAGTCATCATCAGCTGCAAAGATTGATATTTTATATGTTTTGGGTTTTCTTCAGTTATCGATTTGAATGTGTATTCAACACAGAAAACATCTAAATATGTAGTTTCACTCAATTATTAAATTATTGAGATTTTTAAGTGTAATTTATGCTTCAACATACACAAGTGTATAGATAGATACGTTTTAGTTCTATCTACAAGTGCTTACCAAATTTCTACTATGGAAATCATATGTTTGGTGGATTGATGTAATTAGCTCACCAAACGTGAAAACGCAACCGTGCGTCTATGATTTAATTACAACTTTACTATATTTGTTTGTAATCAAGAAATAATTATACAGATAATTTAAATAATTAAGTCCAATCCAATCCATAGATCTATTGCAAAAAGTGTGAATATTAAATTATAATTACACAGCCCAAGAATAAATGAAAACGCTAAAAGGTTTCGCGAGTGGAGAGCATATAATCTGCCCGCCAAGCAACCCCTTAAAACATTTAGTATTCAGCTTTTTGTGCACTGATCCAACTCGACTCGGCCTTTTTCTCTGAGTTGACTCGGCCGAGTTTTATAGCGAGAAGGCGATATAGCTGGGGTTTGATTTGGCGATAACAATGGACGAAGATTCCGTCCGTGGTGGAGATTCTCACCTCAAGACTTGTGTCGTCCTTGGCGGCCGAGGGTTCACTGGTCGATCGCTCGTCTCCAGATTGCTTCGTCTCGGAAACTGGACAGTCCGTGTCGCTGATTCCGGTCACACTCTCCATCTTGACGCATCCGATTCGGTCCTCGAGGATGCTCTCTCCTCCGGCCGCGCTTCTTATCACTCCGTCGATGTTCGTGATAAACCTCAGATCGTTAAAGGTTTTCTTCTCATTTCCTGTTGCACTTTGTTAGATATGACATGGAAGGATCATCGGTGTTTGGTATCTCAGAAATGCTGTGGGAGAATTTTTGGATATTTGAGATTTTTGTGTTCTGATTTGAGTAATGCATTTGAGTTTTGATGTTGGGATGTGATTGTAACATCATATTGTGGTTTGTTCCTTGCAGCTACTGAGGGTTCCTATGTTGTATTTTACATGGGAGCTACTGATTTACCTTCCCATGATTACTTTGACTGCTACAAGGTTATAGTTCAAGGTAAAGTCCTTAGTCACTTCAAGATGGTTTACCATTATATTAGTTTTACTAGTGTGGTTAATCGATTTCTCGTACAATTCGTCTAATAGGTACAAGAAATGTGATTTCTGCCTGTCGTGAGTCTGGAGTCAGAAACCTTATCTACAACAGTTCAGCTGATGTTGTTTTTGATGGTTCCCAACCTATACGTGATGGTGATGAATCCTTGAGACGCCCTTTGAAGGTAATCCCTGAGCATGATTGTTTTGTTTGTTTTTGTCTTTGCTCTTGTTCAGAGATGATATTTGTTTTTCTCTGATTCTCTTGCAGTTCCAATCCATGCTGACAGACTTCAAAGCTCAAGCGGAATCTTTGATCAAATTTGCAAACAACCGTGATGGTCTCTTAACTTGTGCACTTCGCTCTAGCATTGTATTTGGACCTGGTGACACAGAGTTTGTACCTTTCCTGGTGAATCTAGCCAAGTCCGGATATGCAAAGGTCGTACTATTAGTTCATCCCATTATTGCTTTAATATTTGTCATTTTATAATACCTGGTAGAATTCCTTGAGCTTGATGCATTCTTAGTTTTCCTTTTTTTGGGGGGAATGACTGTCTTCAGTTTTAAAATTTCAGTTTATAATCGGGAGTAGTGAAAACATGTCTGATTTCACTTACTCAGAGAACGTTTGTCATGCACATATTTGCGCCGCTGAAGCATTAGATTCAAATATGGAGTTTGTGGCTGGAAAGGTAACCTCCCTGAGGCATGTGTATTTGCCAAATCACTCCTGAAAAGCTCATGAACTTTATATGTGATGAAGTTTTTCTGTGCCGACTATATGTAGGACTTTTTTATCACAAACCTCAAGCCGGTTAGATTTTGGGACTTTGTAAGCCACATAGTTGAAGGTCTGGGATACCCAAGGTAAATGAGCATCCAAACAGTTTTTGATATAACGAAACTTGTTGTGAACTCTTTTTATCTTTCTGTTTCCTGATTATCCGGTGTCTGCTGTAGCATGGGAAAAAGGCTCCTCAGAACTACTGAACCCACCTTGAATGTTCCCTTCTTAAAGCATAAGATCTTAATTTTCTGTTGATAGATGTCCTGGAGACATGAACTACCTTATCTAGTACAGCTGTTTCGAGCACAGCCATATTCAATTAATCGTTTTTAGATATAAACTATCTCTACATGGTGATTCGCTGATATTTTAGTATCTTGTACATGGTCGTATATGTTTCCTTCTCCTATGTCCTTAATATTGATCATTTTTAAAAGTTTTAGATCCTTAGAGCTAACTTTCTGGTTTACCTGTTTTGATATCTTTTTCCTCTTTAATTGCAGACCATCCATCAAACTTCCTGTTCGGCTGGTTTTGTTTGTTTTCTCACTTCTTAAATGGACACATGAAAAGGAGGGCCTTGGGAGTAATTATGACACAGCTCATCAGTATGCTCTGTTAGCTTCATCGACGAGAACTTTTAACTGCAATGCAGCTAAGAAGCATCTTGGTTACACACCTGTTGTGACACTTGAAGTGAGTTTAAATTTGATAATGTTTTGTTTTGCAAATTCAGCTGCATAGTAGCATCCTTGGATTCATTAGCTTTTGTTGGATTTGTAGGATGGAATTGCATCAACGCTTCAATGGTTCTCTCGGGATCTTGAGAAGTTCGATGACACAATCATTCAATCTACTGCAGATCAGCTTCTTGGTTGTGGGAAAGGTTAGAGCCATCTCGCTATTAACAATTATAATGCCCTTTTGAAGTGTTATTGGCTAAGTATTCAGTTATATTGCTTGAAGTCCGTATCTCATCTAGCTATGGATATGATGGTGCATGTTTATAAGGCTTAACCTGGAAAGAATATATCTCTATTCTTATCTTAGATTTTTAGCTTCTAGATGTTTAGAACTTGCTGAAGTATCTGCTCGGTTCATTTACATCTGCTTCCAGACCATGTGATTTCATGCGAGTTCCAACTTTATTTCATGCACATATAAACAAACTCAAAGCGAATCTAGTCAATGCAAGTGTTTAATTTTAGTCTCTTTAAATTGACTTAACTTTTCATCTATGTTCTCATGCAGTTGCAGACCTCTTGCTGTGGAGAAATGAGAAGAAAACCTTCCTTTCTTTCCTTTTCCTCAACTTGTTTTATTACTGGTTCTTCTTTTCTGGAAACACATTTACTTCATCTGCAGCCCAACTTCTGTTTATATTTGCTGTTGCTCTCTATGGAGTCGCTTTTGTACCTTCAAAGATGTAAGTATTGGTTCCAGAACTTTACCATTATAGAAGACAGTGAAAATAATTCGTGGTACCAAAATTGCCCTAGCAAATCATGATGCATCTATGTATATATGTTTCACTTTTGAAATCTATATGCAATTAAGTGACAGATTTATTTACTTTGACAGTTTTGGGTTTCAAGTCAAGAAAATACCCCCATGGAGATTTGAGATCTCGGAATCCGCTGTGAGAGATCTTAGTAGAGATATCGTAGTTGTATGGAATCAGGGAGTTCGAGGTTTTAAATCCTTAAGCATAGGAGGAGACTGGATCAAGTTCTTCAAGGTACAATTATACTCTTTATACACTTCTCTAATGCTCACCAAACATGAAAAATACCTCATCTCTCTCGTTTCCTAAAACAAAACATAAAAACAGATTGCAGGATCGCTATATCTCCTCAAACTGATCGTATCCCGTTCATTGGCTGCATTTCTTTTCACAGGTACTTGAACAAAGCTTTTGTTTTCACACTTGATAAACATAATTACAAACTTCTTCATCCATTAATCTTCGTATCCATAACATTTTCTGTACTCTTTGTTTGGACAGTGATGTCGTTCTCATTCACAGCTTTCTTCATCTACGAGCAATACGAGCTTGAGCTCTACCACCTAGCCCGGATCTTCATCGAATGCTTAACAGTTCTTAAAAGGATGGTGATACCTGTTTCTGGTGCTTCATCTAAACCAATGTTCATGTGAAGCTTCCAAAGTCTACTAAACGAACACCTACAAACCCAGAGACTAATTGCAGTTATTAGATGTCTTATGTACAAACATTATGCTAATCTTCAGTGAGAGCCCTTGGGGTTATGGATTTTCGGTTTATATATGATTACGATTATTTACGAATTTGCCACAACTACTATTGAAACGCACCGTTTCGGTCCGACTCCCAAAAAGGAAAAAATAATAAAATAAATTAAAGGAAAAGTATCTATATATCCTTTAAAAGCCGCCGCTTCGATATCCTCTGGCCTCTCTTTCTCTCACAATCTAATCTTCTTCTTCGTCTTCAAACTCAATCTAGGGTTCTCTTCTCCTCTCTGTAGGTAGGATTTTGAAAACTCAAATCTCTCTGAATTTCTCTTGCTCAAGGTATCATTGCTTCATCGCACAATTCGTCTCTCGTTTTCCGTCTCGTGGATATCGAAATCTCATTATCCCAAAAGGTAAAACAATCAAATTCGGGGATTCGAATTTTGGATCCATAGGATCTCGTCAATTGAAACAATCCCGATGGCGTTAGCTATGAAGCCATTCAGAGCCGATGATTCCGGTTTCCAATCAAACAATCTTTGGGTCGGTAGCCTTACGCCGGAAACGACAGAGTCAGATCTGACCGAGTTGTTTGGAAGATACGGCGATATTGATAGAATCACTGTGTATTCTTCGCGTGGCTTTGCGTTTATATACTACAGACGTGTGGAGGAAGCTGTGGCAGCGAAAGAGGCTCTTCAAGGAGCAAATTTGAATGGAAGTCAAATTAAGATCGAATACGCACGACCGGTTTGTTCTTATCTATATCTTCGTTTGTCCTCTAACTTTGATTGTCTTTTGTCAACGATTATACTCTTTTTACGAATTCATAGTCCAGGTTCATATAACTTTGATGATGCTTGTTTAGTCCACAAAAAAATTCTTGTTGAACTGAGTTTTTTTTTTTCGTCGTACAAATCAAAGCCGAAACCTAGAGATTTTTCTATTATGCGAAACTTGATCCGATCTAAATAAGAGAAACGTATTTCTCAAATTACTTGGGTTTTATCGAACTCGCGCCAAGCCAAACCACAGAGACCATACAACTCTTAGCGAATGAGCTCTGCAAAAGAATACATCAAACACATGTTTTCTCTCGTTTATGCGAAGGTTGATCCGATTATCGTTGCTTCCCTTAGCGATATCTTCGGACTTGTATCCGCGTTTAGCAGTCTGGTTTCAGGTTAAATCTCACAAGCTTGAGTATGAATGAATTGGTACACCACTCAAATTCGCAATGGTGAAAAATTGGAAGCTAGCAAATCTATCATCGGCAGTTTTAAAGTTCAGTTTCCTGCAATAATCAAACCGTGTGGAGAGATTTGTATATGGCGGTACGTAGATATCAATAATTGCATATTGGAAACAGAAAATTCTGGCAACAGTATCGTCCTAACTCCTACTGCTAGTATAGGTGTCACAAATCCATATCAGCGTGAGGGAGTTTGGGGCTTGTTTAGGCTCGATGCTACAGAAAGACAAATTACGTGGCTGCTAACTCTTCCAATCAGAAACGTAGTAAAGAAGAGAGACTCATGGTGAAAGAGAGATTTTGTGAAACGCTCTAGTTGAAGAACCATGCCCGTTCCTCAAATCTTACCATGCGTACAATCTGGGCTTTCTCATTTTAGTTCCTTAAGGAGTTGACTTCTTCACAACCATTCTTGGATTGTTATAGCTGCAGTGATCAAGACATAGATTCATTTGCAGGCAGTCTCAAATTTCAATGTCTTCCCGGCTTTGAGTACTTAATGGAGTGTCTAGGGATTGGTTTATTTGGGACTCAGGCAATGATAAAGACAATAATGTTTTGCAGAAAGTGTTAATGTCTTGCCGGTTTTTGGGTCGACATGCTTCTCCTGCTGACAAATTGTGTGTGTAGTCGAGAGAATTTATATAAAACTGATTGAGTGAGGAAGAGGATATGGTTTCCTTGCAGCAGTGTTGCTTGCTTAGGATAGCAATTGATATGAATTGGTGTCATAATGTAGTTGGAATTACTAGTTAGTTTCTGTGTTTAGTTTCTTTGATGTTTGATGCTTGATATGTTTGAAGCTTTATTCTTGTCAACCTATCTGGGTAGTATTATATCGCCTTCTTATCGACGTTTTCTTGTTGCAGGCAAAACCTTGTAAGAGTCTTTGGGTGGGTGGAATCGGCCCTAGTGTCTCCAAGGATGACCTGGAGGAAGAGTTCAGCAAGTTTGGGAAAATCGAGGATTTTAGGTTTCTCAGAGAACGCAAGACAGCTTTCATTGATTATTATGAGATGGATGATGCTTTACAGGCTAAGAGCATGAATGGAAAGCGAATGGGTGGTAGCTTTTTGCGTGTTGATTTTCTCCGGTCACAAGCGCCAAGAAAAGTAAGCACTCTTCTGGCATTTGGTTTTTACTTTTCAAAACGCTCTAGTAAATATTTTTCTTTAGTAAATATTTGGTTTTTCTTCATATCTGCGTCTCTATTCCATTGTAGAGTAGACTCAACTTTTTAAGTCTGAAATCAAGTTACATTTGCTTTATCTTCAGGAACAATGGGCTGGCTCTTATGATAACAGGAATGGCAATATGAATCATAAACCGCAGGTTAGTCTTAAATGTTGAAAGTATGTGTCTTGTTACTGGTGATACTTATAGGTTACTGGTTTTGACGTTTTGTTATATTCTTACAGCATCCTCACTCATATGACGACGGTAAAGGAGATGTCCAGCCAAGTAAGGTTCTGTGGATTGGGTACCCTCCTAATGCTACACAATGCAATGATGAGCAAATGCTGCACAATGCAATGATACTCTATGGTGAGATCGAGAGGATAAAATGTTACCCATCAAGTCATTTTTCACTTGTGGAGTTTAGGAGCGCGGAGGAAGCTCGCCATGCCAAGGAAGGGATACAGGGGAGGTTATTCAATAATCCTAGAATCAAAATTATGTACTCAAACGATGAGTTACCTCCTGAGCCAGACGATACCAGTTTTTACTCTGGTATGAAACGGTCAAGGACAGATATGTTCAACAATGATCCGTCGTTTATATCTTCTCCTCATTCTACTGGAATTCCTGGGTCTATGAGGCCTCTCAGAGGTAGCAATGAGCGTTCATATAATGGTTCAGAATACAACGACGTTGTTGGTAAGGAGCCAAACTGGAGGAGGCCATCTGCAAATGGAACTGGAATACTCCCATCTCCAACAGGACCTGGAATCCTCCCATCTCCTGCACAAGGTATGAGGCACCCTATGAGGTCAAACCCCGGTTCTTGGGAAGAATATGATCCTGCTCAGTTGGACAGAGAAAGTAAACGAACCAGAAGAGATGGATCAGTGGACGGTTTTACTCCAATGGGTGTCGATGAGAGGTCATTTGGGCGAGTTTCAGTTGCTGCTAGGCCTATCCGTGGCCCCCCTGATTCTGATTACATATGGAGAGGAATGATTGCCAAGGGTGGAACTCCTGTCTGTTGTGCTCGTTGTGTACCTATGGTAAAGGGAATTGAAACTAAACTGTGAGTACCAATTACAAGCACTTAAACCCTTCTAGTGTTTTCTTTTTCAGATAGATTTATATATTTTTCATTTCATTCTCGATGGAAGTAAGAATTCATTATTTTAGATAGTACATTTTAGTTTTACTATTACTTGTATAGTTTCTGATATGTCTTGATTTTCGTGGTGCTGATTCATTTATGGCATTGCCCTCAATTGCTGACTTTGTTTTTTCTTATAATTGATTTATAGGCCTGAGGTCGTCAATTGTTCAGCAAGAACTGGTTTGAATATGCTCGCCAAACATTACACCGATGCCATTGGATTTGAGATCGTTTTCTTCTTACCAGACAGGCAAGAAGATTTTGCGTCTTACACTGAATTTCTCCGCTACCTTAGCTCAAAAGATCGGGCGGGTGTTGCCAAATTAGATGATGGTACAACTTTATTCTTGGTGCCTCCATCAGATTTCTTAACTGATGTACTCAAAGTGTCCGGTCCAGAACGGCTATATGGTGTTGTTCTCAAGTTGCCCCCGCCAGCCGTTCCTGTTACAGCATCATACATACAAGAATCTCAGTCCAATCCTCTGCATTATATGGATCAAGCCCGGGATTCACCTGCCAATGCCAGTCACAGTTTATATCCTCCTAGGGAAAATTACAATAGGGTTGCACTAGAACATCTGACAGCTGCTTCAAAACCATCGGTTAGTGAGCCTCTCAGAATACCTAATAATGCAGCGCCTCAAGCTGGGGTTAGTTTAACTCCGGAGCTTTTAGCCACTCTGGCATCTATTCTCCCTGCAACTTCTCAACCTGCTGCCCCTGAGAGTCACCAACCTATATCAGGACCTTCAACAGTTGTTTCCACAGTACCTCAATCCAATGGACTGTACAATGGAGAAGCACCGTCTCAAGCTTGGAAAAGAGGTCCACAAACAGTTCATGATGCAACAAATCAGTCATTCCAACAATACGGAAATCAATACACTCCAGCTGGGCAACTACCTCCTCCTCCTGCGCGTTATCCTCCAGCTTCAAACAACCCCAACTACTCTAGTGGAATGGTCCATGGCAACATGCAATACCAAGGCCAATCTGTTAACATACCTCAGCTGTCTCCGTTACCAAATATGCCTCATAATAATTATTCCATGTACACTCAGGGTTCGACAAATCATCCTGTTTCTCAGCCCATGACACAGCAATACCAACCAGAAGCTTCCGTGCCAAACCAAAACTATGGTCCAATTCCAAGTTATCAGCAAGCAAATTATCATGGCGTAACAACAAATCAGGCACATAACTTAAATCCTTCCCAATTTCAAGCTGTCATGCAACCACCAGTAGACAAGGCAAACTTAGAGCCACAAAACCAAGCACCACAATTGCAGCCTATGATCTCTGGGGCTGGACAGGGTACAACAGATGATGGGGAGGTCGATAAGAACCAGAGATACCAGTCAACACTACAATTCGCAGCAAACCTTCTTCTCCAGATACAGCAGAAGCAGCAGCAACAGTCTTCAGGTACCCCGGCTGGACAGGGGCCTTGAAACTAGCTCCACTCACCATCATTATCTGCAAGGTAATCATCTCTATCTTCTACCCTCTACCT